CATGTTTTTGATGGGTTTATACACAGGGGAGCTTATATAGAGGGGGGGGGGCTTACCCATGGACAACATTTTGTGTTGGTGTAATAGTGATTTTTGTGTTAGTGTATAATAGTGATAAACAAATGTGGGGGGGGGGCATATATTTGGAATGGTGTGAATTTCAGTAATGCGATGGGCTTGTACGGGGGTATTCGGGGAGGGGGGCTTATTATCAGAGGTTTACAGTGTTTATATACTGTAGTTATATTTATGCATATTTAAATGCTACGCCCTAAGTGAAGATCGGGCATATGTAGGGCATTTAATGGATTTTTGTTTCTCCACCCTCAGGAATTTGATCGACACCATCTCCAGAGGGTGGGGATATTTGAATTGAGCACCATCTTGTATCCTGAGGAAGAGCACAAGTTGAGGACTGGGACAAACGACTTTCAAGCCTTTCGACACAAATTTATGTGCCCAACAATGGGGCATTTGATCACATTTGACTGATATTTGCTTCCCCATGTTAGAGAATTTGACCAAAAAATTGCATGGAAAATCAAATGCCCGACCCTCCCACTCAGGGGCTTAAAATCAATAGGTGCATTAATAAAAGGATTGATGAAATGTATTTGTATTAAAAATTGAGTATACCTTTTTAGTGCTTGCCCTGTTGTCCAACTTAGTTTGTAATTTTTCGTTGACGTCAACACTTCTGATGCGATTTCTGATGTTGCTTTCTCTTCTTACTGCCATTGCGCATCGTTCTTTTCTTCATGATTGTATGTCGCATGCTGAAATTTACCAAAATATTCGAATATACGCTCGACTTTTTCGAGAATACTACAGATCGATCCTTCGCGCGAACTGCAAATATTGGCGCCTAATATTTCTACATCATTGGTTTTCCCTATATGGAAGTGTTGCCTATATAAGGAATATGGTTACTTAGCAACCGTACAGTATTTTCTGCATAATTCATATTTTTAAAGGGAATTCGTTCATGCAGAAATTTGAAAGAGGTTTTTGTCGTTGTAAAATGTGTTTAAATATACGTATTGATAAATGTAATGATTTATTGTGTACTCTATATGGTATTTACACGGTTAAAGCTAAGGTGAGTCCATTTACAGTGCTAATATTTTTTATATGTACTGTTGTACAATGTTTCAAGATATATAAAAGCAGTTATCCACTTCCCTGTTTATAATGCGAAAATATAGGCAAACTGTCAGTGGCGTGCTGGGTACTATTTTTCTGGAGGGGCCAGTGGGCTGTCAGCCAATATGCGCCCCTATAATGTTACACTTGATAAACGAGGGCCGAAGGCACGAGCCGATTACCGCAGGTGCGAGGTTTGTCTAGGGGGGTCCGGGGGCATGCCCCCCAGGAAAATTTTTGAATTTAGAGTCTCTGAAATGCCATTTCCTGGACTTTGGAGGAAGACTTGACAGACTGAATCTGATGGTCAGGAAACGGCATTATATAACGTGTCGAAATTTGCAATTTGGTTAGAATTTAGTAGTAGTACTAAATTATGCAATGCTAACTACTTCCAGCGATTAATCTAATCCCAATTCTGTTCTCTACTGATCTACTGTTCTGAGCACATTTACAACTTAAAGCTCTTTTATACAATAACACACGCACCCCACGCATATGCATTTTAAGGTTTCCTTGCCTAGCGGCCAAAAGGGCATGTTTCAGCATTAATTATTTCATTACTTACATTACTCATGCTTCTTGTGCAAACAACTAAATTGCATACACAACTTTACATCAGTTATCATAACTTCAACTATCTAATTTGTGCCGCTCTCGTGATACGTGAAGCATAATAAAGGGCATAATATAAGGGCATAATACCAGCAAAAAAGAGCATAATTCCCGTGATCGCTTCGATCGAAACCTGACCAATATTCCTGTAATGAGAAATTGCCTGTGATCACTGTGAGGTAGCAAATACGGTTAGGCAAAATAGTCTGTAATTTAATATATGTCGCCTATGCGCTTAGTCTGTTTTATACTGTAGCCTATAAACACGTCTTTTCTTGGCGGAAGTAACCATATTTTTTCGAGAATGCGTTTTTTCCCACACTCTTTCAAAATTCGGCGCCCCATTTTCATTTTTGCGCCCCCAAGAATTGCCAGCTGCAGGGGGCCATGGCCTCCTGCCCCCCCCTGCCACTGAGTTTGTCTAGTTTTTTATCTGGTATATTACGTGGAATTTGCCGAAGTGTTAATTGCAGTCATCGAAGACTACTAGGGAATGTTGCCTAGTAGTTTTTTGTGACTGTAAACAGTGCAATTGTGGTGGTCAATTGGCTGACCTTGTAACAATATGGACTTCAGGTGTTTGGATTTTTATTTGTCTATGTTACAAGTCTTATTTCCAGAGTTTGATATTCTTCTGTTGTGTAATGCACTGCAGGATCATAAAGGTACGACACCATGAAAACTAGGTGACCATGCATAGCTGTGTTTACACCACAAGCCTGGCCAAGGCCTAGCTTTGGACTAGATTTTTGTAGTGTAAACACACTTTGGCCTGGTCTAGGCCAGGATATCTGGGCCCATCAGAACAGGTGTTCCAAATTTCCTGGCCTAGGCCAGGCCGAAGTGCATTTACACTACAAAAATATAGTCCAAGGGTAGGCACAGGCTTAGCCTCAGCTTTCAATGATTTTGTCAGACTTAATTCTTCATGAGATTATCATATTTGTCGTCGGTCCAGTCGACGCTTTCCATCGTTGGTGGCACTGCATCAGTAATTTCTGCACCATGTTCCCTGATTTTCATTCTTCGCACTCTCTCATCATTCCCATCATGTTTGTGCTTGAATCGACTGATGTCAACACCAACAGATTTTAGCCATTCTTTTGCAATTTGACCTCCACACAGTCTGTTTTATTTCACCCTGAGTGTTCTTGATGTTATGCTTTCTTTCTAAGGTTGACCAGTATAGAACCATATTATCTGGATACATTTTCACTTCTCTCATTTTCTCCTTATCAAAATTTTGTTATCTAAGTTTCCAAGTTCTCTTCTTCATGCATGCCTGCTTCGATGTCGTGATTGCTGTGTTGCTGCTAGCGGTTACTACAGCATCTTAGGAATATAGAAGTATATTATTTTAGTTTGTTATTCCGTGCTTGTACATGATTATTTCTGTCTTTGCATTAAATTGCATATACTGTATGTATACTCAAAGCTTAATCCGTGGCCAGGAGCTTTGGGAGGTAACTATAAGATAATACTGTAGCAAGTTTGACAAAAGCCCTCGACTCAGGATGAGAGTTGCCTCAATAACAATGAGCTAACACTGTAAAATGTTCTAACACATTAACCACAAATAGAATAATTTTTGTTTGTTAAATATATTTTGCAACAAATTTGATTGTGTTAGAACTTAGAAGCTATTTAATATACTGCATCACAGACATATTGTATTTAGCCTATTCACCTCATAACTGATGTATTCTTCCAGTGCTCTTCCAATCAAGCTTTTGTCTTTTGTAAATAATTTCTTCTTTCTTTTTTTCTCAGCACAACTCTTCTTCACTTGGATATGCAATGTGGGAAAAGTGGTCATGCAGGGTCTTCTCAAGGGGTACATTAAAAACGCGCTGGAATACTCGGTTAATTTCATCATACACCGCTTGTGCACCAGTCTGGTATTCTCGCCATGTACACTTTATCTGTACAGGCTGTTTTATACTTTAATACATTAGCTGCAATATTTTGAGCGTGTCTAATTTTGACAGATTATAATCTTAAATTACTGATAAATAAGGCTCTTGTTTCATTATAGCACTCGATCAAGATTTATCCTGTGCAATATTGTCTGCGAAATTTATGCTTAGTAGCCTTTTAGATTTGTAGTATTATAATTATAAATTAAAGCATCAGCATATGTTGTGGTTATTAAATGCGAAGTTGTGCAGATAATTTGGTCATCTGAATGGTTCTGTGTGTTCGACATTCACTTGTATATGAAAACAATGATATGATATATATATATATATATATATTTTTGTGTATTACAATTGCCAGTTTTAACCTTGTGCAAAGCAAAATATGTATGGAAACATGTCTTTATGCTCTAATTGCTCTTCGAGTTATTATGATCTCCATTTTGAGCGTTCTTTGTTGCCATGGTTATGCGGGAAACCGCTGTGTGTAGAATCAGGGCTCACTCGACAAAAATGGCGGTTTTTACGATTTATTTACTCGGCTGAATCATAAACTTCAATGGCTTTGCAGGAAAGCTTTTATTATCAACCATTAAAGGATTAGGCGCTAATTATCTACAAAATATGTCCAAGTTCTTGAGAAAAGTCGTAAACCGAAAAGATTTTGATTAGAAGTAGCTTTAATTATCGAAAATATGCAAGTAGAAACGCTTGTTTTGACTTTGGATCCATTTTACGCAACAATAACACAACATTTTCAAGGATACAAGTTTGAATATGTTAGAATAGTTCCTTGGCAATCTATTTGTAATTGAATGTTTCAGTGAGAACACGCTAAATCATTCCCTGCAAAGCGGTTGAAAAAGTTCCATGTTTTTGTTGCTATTTTTAGACCAATAACTGGTCACGTGACACGTTTTTAAAAATTTTAGGTCGGTTAAAAAAATTCTAAAATTAGTTTAGTAGCATTAACGCCCGAAACCCTGTCAATTTATCTTAAAATCGTTGTAAATAATTTTTATTTTATTTTTCATGAATTAATGCTCACTGTGAAACCTGACCCAGTCACTATAATAATAAACACTTTATTTAAACAGGGTGACTAGAGTTACACGAAGTAATTTTCATCTAGGCCCTAAGTAGTATACTGTCTATTAATACTAAGACTATAAATACCAATATAAAGAGTTACTAAGTCAAAAATATACACATAGGGTTAAAAATTATCGTTAATTGTTATAAACACAAGTCAGATATTATCCTTGAGTTTGGAAAAGGCCAAATTTATGTAGTTTTTACGAAATGAGGAGAATGATGTCGAGCATCTCACACTATCAGGTAATAAATTCCACTCATTTCATTAGCTGCCAAGAAGGCAAAAGTACGTTTACCAGCATTAGTGTTTACTTCTGGAAGCTTCAAGTTGTTATTTGTGGAACCGCGAGTATTTACATTACGTACTTTGCTGAATGGTAAAAGTAAACTAGTGATATAACTTGGAGATAGATTATTTAACGCTTTATAAACTGTACTGGCACGCAAATATCGTATTCTCTCGTGAACTGGAAGCCATCCAAGTTCCAAAAATAAAGGCAGTGAAGGTGCCTTATGATCAAGATCTAAAATCAGTCTGGCAGCTCTCTTTTGAAGCCGATGAAGTCTGTCCAAGTTTTGGGTAGATGTATTCCCCCAAATCACACAATAGTAATCCATTAAGGAGAGAATTAAACATCGGTAGAAGGCTTTACAAGCGTTTAGTGGCAGATTGTGACGTATTCGTCGTAATATTCCTAATCTTTGAGATATCTTTTTACACAACAGATCGATATGCACAGACCAGCTCAAAGTTTGATCAAACTGAATACCAAGTAAATCTTCCATCAAGCACGGTTTCAATTTGGAAATCATTTATAGTGATGTTTAAATCCTGTGGGATCTCAGACACTTTCCTGGTTGATGCTATACATTGCCTTAGTTTTCTGTTCGTTGAGAACCATTTTATTCGTTTCAGTCCATTGTATAATTGGTAACATTTCGGTACTGAGTTGTTCTTGTACACTCTGGACTGAACAACGAGATACATACTGAGTAGAATCATCTGCAAACATATCTATTTGGGTGTCATTCAGATGTAATGGAAGGTCATTCATATGGATAATAAATAACAAGGGCCCTAGAATTGACCCTTGTGGTACACCTGATTTAATGGATGCTTTAGAAGAAAGCTCATTTTTGATTTTCACTTGAAATTCTCTGTCTTTGAGGTAAGAAGTAAACCAAGACAATGCTTGATCATCCAAACCATACAAGTGCAATTTCTGGAGCAGTAATGAATGGTCAACAAGATCAAAAGCTTTACGTAGATCTAACATTGTTAAGCCGGAAAACTTCCCTTGGTCCATGTTGTGAAGCAAGAAGTCAGGTAGTTTTATTAATAGTGATTGGCATGAGTGGTTTTTGCGGAATCCTGATTGATTGTTGGAGATTAGCTGGTTAACTGTTAAATAAGAATATAATTTCTCACTGACATGTCTTTCAAGTACTTTTGATAAAAGAGGTAGAACTGAGATGGGACTATAACAGGATCTGTCCGTAAAATCTCCACCTTTAAATATGGGCGTGACCCTGGCACGTTTCCAACATAATGGCACTGAAGACATTGAAATACTTAAGTTAATTATTCTTGTAATATGGGGTGCTATAACTGGAGCAGCACAACCAAGAATTTTGGCTCCCAGATAATCAAGACCGACAGCTGCATTCGTCTCAAATTTAAGCAGTTGGCTCTTCACAAAGTCTATGTCAACCGTTGGAATACTGAACTTAGTGTCACTTAAACATTTGGACTCGATAAATTTCTTTAGTTTATGAAAGCTTGTTTTAGGTATAGGTGTTTTAACCATAAATTCAGATGTAATATTAGCAAAATACCTACAGAAAGATTCAGCTATCCCATGTGAGTCCTTGATCTCGAAACGATCCTCTTTTATTGATCTTGGAGAAGAGGACTTTTTATCACATTTCAAGATGCCATTAATCGAGTTCCACATTTTCCCAGGGTGACCTTCGTTTTCTTCAATAGATGATCTGTAAAATTCCTGTTTGCTTCTATTTGTTAGGCAGACTACTTCGTTACGCACTTTACGGTAATGTCGCCACTCCTCAGTGTTTCTGTTGGCTTTACCAGAAACATTAATGGCCTCTTTAAGGAGCCAATCTCGTTTCTTCATTATAGACAAGATTCCTGGTTTCATCCAAGGGGGCTGGCACCATAATTTAACATGTTTCTCTTTCATAGGCGCATGATCATTGATAACGTCATTGAATAATCGCTCAAATGTATCTAAGGCTGCATCCGGATCAGTGTCAATAGCAGCCAACTCTTGCCTGGAACGTTCTCAAGGTCCTTGATAAACTTAGCGCTATCAAACATCTTAAAACAACGATATTTAATAGTTAAATGAGACTTTGCTTTGCATAGTCCCCCATTAAACTTGCAAATAAAGCAAACAGGAAAGTGATCTGATAACCCAATTTGCGGAACAGAAATGCGCACAATATTGTCCTCTGTCGTACACCAAATATGATCAAGGCAGGTGTTACTAGCTGGTCTTGTTGTAACATTAACTAATTAGTCTGGGAGCTATTTTCAGAAACGGCCTTATTTAAGGAGATTGCACAACCCACCTTACAGAAAAGGTTTGACACTTGATTCCTATAGAATAATATATGCGTTTTAACACGAGATACTTTGTACTATCAATTTGTGGTATAGGTGTCGAGATATCGGGGGGTTTTAGCCCCAATATGGCGAAATTACATCAGAGCAAGGCTACGTACCGCGAGGGCCACAGATTGGTTGGCTTTTAACCAAATCTCACGAAAAAGATCTCGTATGAATGTGCTTTCACGGGGCTTTCGAACAAATGTGAGCAAGTAATCATTGTGTCACGTGACAAATCACATGATCTAAAAAATATGGATTTTTGGTCTGAATTTGCTGGAAAACCCTTGAAAACGCATCCTTTCACAAAAAATAACCCTCAAAATGTATTTATCAAGCCATTTTAACATGTTAAAACAGAAAAACTACAATTCAAGTAGCGTTGTAGAATATCCGAGATGAATGACATCACGAATAAGACTGGAATGAATTGCATAGGTAACCAGGCTTCCTTCACTGGCAGCCATATTTGATTTATCAATTATTCATTTAACAAATAAAAAGTGCTTTTTAAAACAGGAAAACATACCACATTTTTTAAGATTGTTGGAGTCATGAAGGTAAACATAATAATTTGTGAAAATGATATATTATAGTAATGGGAAAAATTGTTTTAGTTTGAGTTATATTTGAATATATATTAGTGTCGTTTTTTTGAGTTTTTGGTACATTTTTATTTGGGGTGTCTTGAAAATGAAGACCTCTAAAGATAAGACCCCTAAGACCCTAAGACCCACAAAACTTGAAAACTAAGACCCGAATTTTATTAAAATACAATTACACATTCAGTAAAGTTTTTGTTTAAATATAACATAATTAACTCTTTTTCGTTTGGTGCTGAAATAACCAGGTCGAAACCGACCTGGTATTTTGCAGGTTCATATCTTCGGTTCAGTGCATGCTATATAGATGAAAATAACACCATTCGATTCAGTGAAAAAATTCCTATCGATAGATATAATAAAATGTCAACATTGTAGCGATTTACGACCTTTAGAGGGCAAGCAGTGTCATATTTCACTAGATTACACAATATTCCCGAAAAATGTAAGAATGTAATAAAATGTATCACAAAGGCATACCTTTCGCCTAACATAACTTCGGTCCCTTTCAAGACATCTTTTTCATAATAGTCTTGTTAGAATCACAATCCAAAATACTATTTAGAGTGTTATTTTCAAGCTTGTATCAACAGATTTGCATCTTTTATTTCGGAATTTCAAAATATCTAAATTTTACGCGAGAGCTTCGATGGTGGTTCGACCGGAAATACACTTTAGTCTGCGTTGTTGAATCCCTTTAAACCATTTTTTTTTTATTTTTAAAGATAATAAAGTGAAAATATCATTTTCTGAAAGGGTTAGGTCAAGTAAAACGAACTATGAAAAAATTTTTTAACAAAGTCGCTAATTACACTAATTATCCAATATGGCGGCTCTTAATTAGGCCATAATTGCCTAGCGTCGCAAACATCATATCTCATTAACCAATTACCCAAATTTAATGAATGATATATTTTTTAAAAGCTTAGGACCTCATCTATTATTTGATACTCTTCATTTTGTTCCAGAATTCCATTAATAAAAAATTTTAGAGCCAAAAATGGAATTATGCATTATTGGTACTTTTAACTGAAATATTTATGATGTAATTTGTTAATAATTCATCAATAATGAACAATGTTGAAATGTGAAGAGTGTCACATAATGGACAATGGTACAGACTATAGATCTGCAAAGTATCAAGCTTCTATGATACAAACCTAGAAAATTACATGGTTCCAAGTATTGCGGACTACTGTCAAATTACAAATCTGAGAAAATCCCGTGTGAAAGTTTTAGTTTGGTAAATGTACCTCCAAGAAGGCTTCAGTAGACTTCAGAAGGCCCCTGCTTCATACATTACTCCTTCTTTCTCTTCTGCCTCATCTATATATTTTTTCCTAAGATGTCTTAATGTTTTTCTTCTGTTTCTTGTTGGCTCTTTGGTCTTTGTTACCGACAGTTGTATTCGTTGTCGATCACAGTGTTGGGCACCTTCAAAGGTAAATACTCCTGGTTTAATATCCAGGTCCTCAAAGATCTTCAAAAAAGAAATGTCCCCATCATTAAACTTCAACACTGCCAAATATGTTGCAAGTGCAACAGTGGGCTGTTCGACATAGGTGGTCTTTGGACATCGATCCCAAATCAGCCCATTCAAACATTCGTTAACATTTTGGGTTAAACCATGTGTACATTTCTGAAGCAGATCAGAGTTGCTCAACTTTTCAAAAACTGGCACAATATCATCAACAATGCACTGAGGTATGCCATTCTTGTGTTGATAAGACTCTTTCTCTCGCTTGTAGCCGCACCAACTGTCATCACCATCGGGACAAAGATCATGCTGTGGATTTGACTCGGTTGAAGCGACATGAAATAATGTTGCTTTAATAGCAGTGGCCATTTCGTCAACATCATCCAAGTTGCTCCTTACTGCAAGACCATAATAATTTTGCAAAATGTCAATTTTCCCATCAGTTAGTCTTCCTTTACCTCCAAATCCTTTGCCGTCACTCAATTTCACACCTTTTCTTGTGTTCTTTAACTTCCGCAGCCGACTCCCCACTCTCTTCTGCACATGACCAATACATTCAAGTTTATTTGGAATGCAATCATCTCCATAAGGTTTGCTCTCTGTAATAGCACTATATGTGGATGAATCACCATCACCAAGCATGCCCTTGTAGCGTAGACCCCTTGTTAAATAGGACCTCTCAAATATCCGCAGAGCTCCAGCTGTTTCCATACTGTTGGCACTTCCAGTGTGGTTGATTTTGCAAATATGGTTGGCTTTCCAGTCTTGATATTTGGGATCATTTGCCTTCTTTGGCCACTTTTGACACCCTTGACATTTGTCTGATAAAACTTCCACGTCCAGACATTTTTTTGTGTCCAATGAGATGGCGGTTACGACACCATTATGTGAAACATGACCTCGCCTTTGCCAAGTTCCATCAAGGGAAATTCCACATTCACCTGCCTCATTATTGCAAGCCTCTTTAACAGCCATAGCATTGTTTACCATACTGTCAGTTGCCAACTGTTTAACAACAGGCAACAGCTTTTTATTTTGTACCTTTGTAAAGTTCCGGCTTGTTGGTGGTGGTGGCATGTTCATTACTTTGGCAAATGTTACCATAGCTTTATGTCCTCGACCAATTTCTCTAAATGCCAAGACAGCCCTCACATTAATTTCATATGAATGTCCGTGTTTCTTTGATGTATGAAAACAGTACTTCCATTCACATTCGACACTGTTGCATTCAAGTACCATGTAGTGCGAAAAGCCATTTTTCTTTTTCATATCAACATGGCAGGTTGTGTTGTCGCCACATTCAGGGCATCTCAGAATTTCATCGAAGACATTGAAAAGGACTCCCAAATCCATTGTCGGAAACTGTCGTAATTTAGAATTAGTATTTATGTTCACGCGTGGGACGCGCGAGTCCAAACTTTAAACACTTCGGAAAGTTCCGGATTATACCGGTGGTTGTTGTTTTTTCCAGGAGAGAACTTAAAAACATGTGGCTGTGAAACTGTGAAACTTGTGATTTTGTAATAGATATTATACTGTGTTTTGTTGTGATTTATTTTGGGCGATACTTGGAGGCAATCCCCAACACCATAAACACTGTACCTTCTTTAAGTGAATCTGTGAGACCAGGATTTTCGCGAAACTTCTGACTGTTATCGCCTATTTTCATCTCAGATGGCCCAGGTTTTTCGCTGTTACATGGTCCGCCATGTTTGAATTTTTTGGCTTTCTTGCACGGTGGGATTCGTGCCTTTATTCTCTTCCTATTTTGCTCATTTCCCATATTTTATCGAAAATAACAAGCAATTTAACAGAATATAACAATATACAACGAAGAAGACTAAATTTGAGCCAAATATCCGGTAAAATTCCGAAACTCTGAAGCGATGTTTACAGGTAGTGTGTTGAGAAGGTTTGTGAAAATTGCTATGAAACAGTGCTTCCATGTGTGTGTAGAATGAACCAATCAAATTGCAGCATGATCATAAGGGCTTAAACAACATACATCAAAAGTAGCAACTACAAATGACTCGTTAATATTGAATAATTCATTTTTTTTTTATAAAAAGGCGTTGCTATGGCATTGCTAAGGGGAAAATATTGGACCATCTCTATTCTAAGACCGGTCTGGGGGTTTAAAACGTACAAAATACACAAAAGCAATAACAAATTCTAAATCTACAATGTTTATAATACCCAAAACACACAAAAAATTTTTTTAAAAAAAAATTGACCAAATGAAGGGATGCGACCACCTTTAAGAATGTGTGTCAACCGGCATGTCCGATTCAGACTCTGATTATGCTGTGTCTGTTTACGATCCTGAAGACAATTTAAATTGTTATGGTTCTCCGATTGAAAGCCACGATCAATTTCAGTTAGGAGAGGTTGCATCAACTGCCAATGCCTTCAATGCATCAACTGCCAGTGCTTCAACAATTGTTGAAAACATTCAACCTCAACGAACCCAGGTATGTTTGTGATTTCATGTTTTGTTTATTCCTTTATTAATTGGTATGTATATTTCTATTTAATCATTGTATTTATTTGATAGTTTTGCAGCTGCAAGAATACATGTAGCAGACGTAGTGGACGAAAAAAGCGTGGTTGTCCGTGTCGCGATGAAAATTTGCATTGCACTGACAAGTGTTCCTGTGGGTCAAAAAAGTCTTCTTGTAAAAACCAGGAACAAAGTACGGCGACTGCGACGAATGCAAATGCTGGGAAAAATGCATTTGACCGCCATCAAGCGGCCATCGAGGTTTCTAACCGCAAGATTACGGTAAGCAAAGCAAGTGTTCATACAGAATTTTGATCGTTTTAATTTCCCATATATCTTTTGCACACCAGGTCTTTTATATTAATCCAAATAATTATGAGTATTACACTATAAATAACGCAAATATAAAAGTTAAATGATGCACGTTGTCTCTCGCCAACCTGCAACGCAAGCTACAACAGAACGGTTTAACAGATAGCTACTCCAAGATCATTGACACGCAAAAGGCAGAAGGCATTGTGGAAGTTGCCAGTCAAGACCGCCAAGGAGTAGAGTTCTACATCCCCCACAAACCCGTGATAAGAGAAAGCGCTGAGTCAACAAAGGTGAGAATACGACGCCTCAACCAAAGCCAACAGCGGAGCCCCTAGTCTAAACCAATGTTTGAATCCAGGCCCCCCACTGCAGAATGACCTTTGGAAGGTCTTGGTGAGAATGAGATTCCTCCCTGTAGCATTGTGCGGAGATATTAAACAAGCGTTCTTGCAAGTTCGGATAAGAGAAACGGACAGGGACGCACTCCGGTTTCACTGGAGTCCAGATGCAAGTCGAGACCTTAAGATTTACAAGAGCTTTGTTCGGGCTGACATCGTCACCATTTCTCCTCGGGGGAGTGATTGAACATCATCTGAAGTGTTGGGAAAGTAGGAAACCGGACGTAGTAGTTGAATTGCAAAAGAGCCTATATGTGGACAACTTAGTGAGCGGGAAGACAACAGTAGAGCAAGCACAGACAATGAAAGACGACGCGATAGAGATATTCAACGATGCTACATTCACGCTTCACAAGTGGCATTCGAACAGACGAGAGTTGGAAGAAACGACGAGCGACAATGAAGAGAAAACATTTGCGAAGCAACAACTTGGAACACCCAGTGAAGGAGAAGCTAGCATTCTGGGACTAGCTTGGTCAAAAGATAAAGATGAGTTAAAAGTCGTTGTTCCCTTGGGGGAAGTTACTACAACCAAGCGTGGGATTTTGAGTAAACTAGCTCGAATATATGATCCCCTCGGACTGTTATCACCAAGAACTTTACAAGGGAAGATAATTTATCGTGAAGTGTGCGAGAAGAAGATATCGTGGGATGCTCCGTTATCTGCTGAGCAAAAGAATGATTGGCTCAAATGGGAGAAGCAACTGCCAAACCACATAGCTGTGCCACGTTGAATACCCACCTTCCAGGAGGACATCGAGTCAATTGTATTGCATGCCTTTGGTGACGCAAGTGGCAAGGGTGTAGCAGCCGTTGTTTATGCTGTGGTTAACCAACCCTCTGGTACAACGCAAGGTCTAGTAGCAGCGAAGGCGAGATTGGCGAAACATGGGTTGACAATACCCCGGCTAGAGTTGGTCTCAGCACACATGGCGTCCAACCTCGTAGACAACGTGCGACAAACCCTGGATGGATTTCCTGTGCAAGAAACGTATGGTTGGCTCGACAGTACAGTGGTGCTACACTGGATAAAGGGCGGAGGAGAGCATAAACAGTTCGTAGCCAATAGAATTCAAAAGATCCAGTCAAAACCTAACATACAGTGGCGCTATGTTCCGACCGATTGCAATCCTGCTGATGTGGGAAGCAGAGGTGGCCAAGTGAAAGACAACCAACTGTGGTTAAATGGACCAGATTGGCTTAAAGATAATCGTATGTGGCCAGAAAATATCGTAACCTGTGCAACCAAAGAAAGCAAAGCTGAAGCGAAGATGATCAAAACCGTGCTGGGATTGACCCAAGATAACTCGGACTGTTTTGACCACATCCTTGAGAAGTTTGCATTACGAAAAGCCATGAGAATATGCACGTGGATTACGAGGTTCATAACAAACCTGAGAAAACCCAATAGTAGAACTTTGGGACCACTAATGACTGATGAGCTCGAGCAGCAATATGTATTTTGGGAAAAGAAAGTACAACAGAGCTGTGGTAGCGAAGACGATAAGCTGCGACTCAATTTACAAGAGAACCCCCAAGGTATCCTGGAGTGCAGGGGACACATTCAAGGTCATTATCCAGTTTATCTGTCAGACAAGCACATCTTTGTGACCAAGCTCGTGGAAGATGCCCATCTATGCACCCTTCATGGGGGAGTGGGGATAACCATGGCCCGAATTCGAGAACAGTACTGGGTCCCACGACTTAGACAACTTACACGCAAAGTAATCAAGAAGTGTTACGGTTGTCGTAGATTCCAAGCGAAAGCAGTGCTACAACCACCACCTGGTATGCTGCCACCAGATAGAACTGAAGGGAGTCGTCCCTTTGAAACAATAGGCGTGGACTTTGCTGGTCCTATTAAGTACATTAAGAAAAGGAAGGAAGAAGGAAAGGCATACATACTACTCTATGCCTGTAGCCTCACGCGAGCGGTATATCTCGAGTTGATGCCCTGCTTAGACACAAGAAAGTTTATCGAGAGTTTTAAGAAATTCATCGCAAGGAAAGGGAGACCAAGCAAAGTCTACTCTGACAATGCAAAAACGTTTGTTTCAGCAGCAAACTGGTTACGAACAGCTCAAAACGATGAAAAGTTAAACAAATTCCTCAGCAAGAATCGAATTAGATGGCAGTTCAACCTGAGTCGCGCCCCATGGTGGGGTGGCCAGTTCGAGCGCTTAATCGGATTGGTAAAAAGAGCTGTACATAAAACAATTGGCAAAGGGTTGAGTTGAGTTGGGACGAGCTGAAGGAGTTCCTCGTAGACATCGAAGTAGCATTGAATACAAGACCACTCAGCTACATGGAAGATGATGTACAGCTATCAACGCTAACGCCTAACTCCATGATGTTCATTGGTTCTACAATCGTGCCAGAGCTGGAAGCACATCACATACAAGAAAAGGATCTACGCAAGCGTGCAAGGTATTTGTTAAAGTGCAAGCAAGCAATGTGGCGGAGATGGTCAACGGAATATCTGCGCGGTCTACGAGAGCGGCATAACCAAAATCACAAGAAGACGTCGTTCACGGTGAAAAAGGGTGACGTGGTTATCATACAATCGGATGAACGAAGTCATGGAAAGTGGCCTCTTGGTATTGTCGACGAGCTGTACAAAGGACGTGATGGTGTTGTTCGTGCGGTGAAACTTCGTGCAGGAAAAACCTACCTTGAACTTGTACTCAGAACATTGATAACTCATCTACTCATTCACATCCATCAGAAGAAGAAAATCACAATAGAAGTAAAGTCACAAACAACAAGTGCAAGTGTAAACACCATAGGTGTAATTGAATAGTATCAGTTGAGAGCAATGAGTGAGTGGAGAATATTGAAATCAGTGGGGTTTGGAAGTGTTTTTTGATGGGCTTATACATAGGGGGAGGCTTATATACCTTACAGTATATACAGGTGGCTTATACATGGACAACATTGGTAACCAAGTATTTATTGTTAATTATAAACATGAAAAGAAACAAAAATTATATTATATTCAATATGTGTGGGGGGGGGAATATATTCGGGGGGAGCTTATATTTGGAACGGTGTGGGAAAGTTCTATTTCTATCTAGAATCTACTTATCAATCTCAGATTCGTCAGCCAGAATAGGAGACAGATGAATATCTTCATGAAGTAGTGATCTTCTAACAAGTCGTGATGGCGTAGACTGGACAACATGACCTGATAGAACAAAAAACAAATATTTGTATTATAATTAAAATTTGTTCCAACATTTATCCACTGCACTGTAAATAATCAAGCATACATGAATAAAATACAAATACTAAAACACAAAGATTCCATTTCCTTAAAATCATAGGTGTTGAAGAATAATCACGGCGTATAATTTATAATAAACTCACCTTGCCCTTGGGAGTTGAGCATTGTTGATTGTTTTGACGCACTCTCATTTCTTCACACATTTGCAGTAGGTGACTAGCGAATTCACTATGGGTTTTCTCAGCCATTCCAACCAAATCTTTTTGTACCTGCCACTCGTTATAGACGTCCATTCGTAGGCCAATCCGGTGAACTTCAATGCCTAGTTTTGGCCTGCCGCGCTTTGGCAACGATGGCGATGCCATTTAATACTGTATTAATAATTTTATAAATGTGGTATTTTTTGCTTCAAATATAACACAAGCCAAATTATAAAAATATAACAGAAGATGAATAAAAATTACGAAGATGGACAAAAATTATAAAAATAGTATAACATATACGAAGATGGACAATAATATTGATGATTACTTCGCAATACAATGTTCTCGTGAATTTCTCTACCAAAAAAATGGCCGCCAGAGCAAATGAAGCGCGCAGTGCATGCCGGTTGGCACACATTCTTTAAATACTATCACTCGGGAAACGTCGGAAATCGATTCTAAAGGTCATATTACACCTGCAGCGTAATTTGCACGTGCATCGGGCTACGGGTGCTGTTTATTGGACAACTTTAGCGTGTGGCGGGCGCGTGCGAGTAAAAACCATTAAAAACCCGATATTTTGAAAAAATCAAAATAAATATATTTCTACTAGCCGTATTCAAACGAAATTTTCCACACGAAAGCACCATAAATACAAGGAATATTTCACTTGGATTGACTTGTGGGGAATTCCAAGGAGTTCAAGAGATATTCAAGATTTTCTGAATATGAAATAAAGAATATTTGGCAAAGCCGGTGAGTAAAATACATGGTTGTTTTGTTTTGTGTAATGTTATAATGGCATTTGACCCCCCGTTCGAAAGGTTATCCGGAGATGCATAAATCGTCCCGGCAAACGCCCCGTCCCGCCTCTCATATAAACTGGGCCTTATATTCCCTGTAAAGCTGTATCTGAACTCTCATCTGTTCAAAAAATATTCCCAAATATTATACGTCAAAATTTCAGGTAAGTTTGTATTTTAATAAAATCCGGGGTCTTAGTTTTCAAGTTTTGTGGGTCTTAAGGGTCTTATCAGTTAGAGGTCTTAGTTTTCAAGACACCCTTTTAGTTGCATATATTTAGTTCAGGCTACTGAGGTGCGTCGTATATTTAGTATAGGTTATTTCATTTCCAGAATGTTTCTGTTATGGATGAGGAAGGTGAATGTATAAATCTGTCAAATAGTAATAAGGATGGTAACTTATCAGAGTAATGGAGGTAAACATAATAACATGGAAAATGAAATAAGTAATTCGAAAATTCTGTATATTCAATAAAGGCTAATTAAAGTTATTTTGTATATTCAATAAAGGCTAATTTGCTTTGCAGATGGATGGTGGAGTTCATTTGCTTCCTGCCAAACAAAAAAAAATTACTAATTTTAAACAATGTATAATTTGTCAAGAAAAGAACAAGCATGATTGTTTAAGAAAAGCACAAGTTCCATCAATTGAAAAGTTTATATTTGCTGCAAATATTCGCAAAGATGATTGTTTTGATAGATTGCATACTGATATTGATAATCTTACTTCCAGAGCGATTTTGTGGCATTATTCATATTACGCATCCTACACTAGTGAATGTAATTTACATAGCCTATCAACCGGTCAAACAGGTTCTCCTCAAGTGAATGAAGTAAGTGAAGTGAGTTTGAAATCGCAACGAAACCGTCCATTGATTGACTGGACAAAGTGCATCTTTTGTCGGAATGCTTCTCGCAAAAGGGATTTTAAACTAATCAATATTGTGACTTTTGAAGCGTGCAATAGCATTAGAACAGCTGCTGAGGCCAGAGGCGATGAAGAGCTACTGCCTGTATTACGAACTGTTGATCTAATTGCTAGTGAAGGCAAGTATCATAAGTCTTGCCATGCATCATATGTGAGCAAAGCAAATATCAAATCGCAGTGTATAAATGGAAAACCTGTTAACGAATACGAGGATGCCTTTGCTGAGTTCCTTGACATAATACGACCTGAAATCCTGAAGGGAAAAGCGTACAATATGAATTACCTACTACAATTGTACAAGGATATGCTAACCAAGAGAGATGTAAATGCCGATAGCTACACCAGGCAAAAGCTCAAATTACGTTTAAAGTTAGTCTTCAGCGACAGTCTTGTGTTTCACCAACCACATGGGAGCACAAAACCAGAAATTGTTTACTCTAGTTCCATATCACTTCTTGATGTTATTAACACAGCTGCGAGAACAACCGAGAACACCAAAACTTCAGTTGCAGCTCAGAATGAATTCATAAGGGATGATCCAAATGAATCAATTAAGATAATCTATAAAGCAGCAGTCATTATCAGAAATGATTTAAGCACGTGCAAGGGAATTAAAATCGATCCCTTATTTCTTGAAGATTTGCACATACAGAAGGCGCAAGCACTTATTCCTGATAATCTGTATTGGTTGGTGAGGTATATGGTATCCTCGGAGGTGTACGCTGCTGACCAAAGCCCTAAAGCTTCAAATGTCTCACATGAAAGGAAGATACTAATGATATGCCAAGACGTCGTACATGCTGCAAGTAATGCCAGAGTGAAGCTTTCAAAGCATGTATCGTTAGGTATAACTATTAAACATCTAACAAGGTCGAAGCAGCTCATAACTCTGCTAAACCGAATGGGGCATTGTTGCTCATATGAACAAACTGAAATTGTGGAAACAGCCCTCGCTAATGAAACAATCGGCAAGATCAGAGTTGAATGGAGGTGTTATCATTCCATCAAACATATCACCTGGTGTGTTTGTCCATATGGCAGCAGATAATAATGATTTCAACGAGGAAACCATCGATGGAAAGAACACTACCCATGCGACGACCTTCGTTGCTTTCCAAAGGAAACAACATGCACCCGCAACGCCACCCATGGAAATCTACATGAATCACTCACAGCGGAAAAGGTCCTTAGATTTGTCAAGACCTATAGTGATGGTAGAGGATATCAATGTTGGAGGAAGACGTCCAGCCGTTACAAATTACGTTAATAAGATGACAAATGCAAGTTGGCTACAACCAAATGATAATTTCCTTTCAGCTTGTCAAGACGACTTGGTATGGCTAATCCTACGCATGTGTTCCAATACTATGTTTGAAGAAAATTATCAAACGGTTCATGCTCAGAAGATTCCAGGTTGGAGTGGATTTCAGTCCCTCAGATTCTTGGATCCTTCAACACCAACTTCCATTGGCTACCTTCCTATGATCCAGGCAGATGCAAACGAGTACAGTACAATCAACACGGTCATGAAACTCTCGTTGAAGATGGCAAATGCTCTTGGACAGTCCGAATCTGTAGTAACGTTTGACTTAGCAATTTACGTTAAGGCAAAGCAGCTTCAAATGAGGTACCCGGGTGAGTTCAAGAATGTTGTAGTTCGCTTAGGAGGGTTTCACATAGCTTTAAATTATCTTTCGCTCCTTGGAAAGATGTATTCAAACTCTGGTTTGGAAGATCTTCTTATTGAATCAGGAGTGTATGCGCCTGGAACTACCACCGCATTGATAGCAGAAAAGTCATACAATCGTGGAGTACGAGCCCACAAACTTTGCTTCTAGGCTCTGTTTCGACTAATGTGGAAAACGTTTGCAAGTTGGCTTGAAGAAACCGCGCAAGGTTTAGATGAAATTTCAAAGACGAAAGCCCTCGAGTTACTCAACCAATGCCAAGATTCCGACAATAAGGAAGAATACCTTAAAGAAAACTGGCATTTGCTAAAAGATGGCTTAAGTGCACTGGTGCATCTATTCAAAGAATTTGAAAATGAAGGAAAAGTCAAATCACAGCTTTTTGCATTTTGGAGTGAATACATGTCAATGGTGTCCTTTCTGCTTCAGTTTATCAAAGCTGAACGAACTGGCAATTGGAACTTACACTTGTCTTCCACTGCTAAGATGCTACCCTATTTCTACGCCATGGATAGAGTGAATTATGCAAGATGGCTCCCCGTATACTTGGCAGACATGCATTCACTACAGGAGCAGCATCCAGAAGTTTATTCTGAGTTCATAGCTGGTAACCATAGTATTAGTCGCTCACAACAACCCTTTGGTCAAGTTTGGTCTGACATGGCACTTGAGCAATCAATTAACTGCGACTCAAAATCAAAAGGAGGTTTGGTTGGCATAACCCAACAGGATGGTGCAGTTGATCGGTGGTTCTTGACAAGTCATGAACGTGCAGCCATTACAAGATCACTTAAAGAAATGTGTGGCGTGGAGAATGACAAGATAGGAACACACAAGGAAACTAGTGTTATGCGTATAGAGCGAGATGAGAAGGATGTCCAGAGGCTTGTTTCATGTTTTACTACTGGCTTAGCAAATAACCCATTTGTAACTGAAGACGAGGACAACGCAGACGACACTCCGCTTAGCAATATTGCAACAGGAGTAGTTGTACCTAACGAAATTGCAGATTGCTTGGTAAATGCGTTTCAGATTGGAACAACTAGTATGCACGACTTCATCAACGCAAGGCTTGATACTAGTAAAGTTTGTTTCTGGGACCCTCTTAAGAAGCTGAAGATTGACACTTTTAAAGTAACTACGCGAACGATATCTCTAAAAGGGACTCGTGGAAAAGTCGTAACTTTGAATGCTGACCGTGAGCTCTTCGGACGACTGCTCGTAGTGGCAAAAACAAGAGATATCAACCTTAAAGAGATCCTAAGCTACGAATTGTCCTGTGTTCCAGTCTCCCTTGTACATCCAGATGGGACTATGCGAAAGACAGCCAAGAGCACATTGACGCCGATTTTGGAGAGAAATGTCGACTCCATTTCTAGATTACCTGTATCGGAACTGCGAACAGCTGTTATCATCGATGCCATGGCATTGATTCAAATGGTTAAGTCAGCAGGAGCAGCAACGTTTAGGGAGATGGCTGGTAAATACTTCGACATTATAACTTGGGTATTAAGTCAGAACAACTGTAGCCGCGTAGACCTTGTATTTGACCAGTACCGTGCCATGTCTATCAAAGCAGCAGAGCGCCAAGAAAGAGGAGAATGTTTGTCCTTGGAGATTAAGATTCACAATCAAAATACGCCAGTTCCCAAGCAGTGGAAGAAATTCATATCAAATCCAAAGAATAAGCAGAGTTTAGCTACATTCTTATGTGAGTCTCTACGTACCATTTTGAAGACACAATTGCACCCACGGCAGAATGTTGTCATAGCAGGAGGATTCAAAGATGGCAGAGAAACGGTTTCGTGTATCCGCGGAAATTCATCCAGTGTTTCATCTTTGTTTTCTGACCAGGAAGAAGCAGACAAAAGACTTCTATTGCACGCCAAACATGCTTCAAACACTCATCAAAGAGTTGTTGTTCAGTCCCCTGATACAGATGTAGCGGTGTTATGTGTTGCTCATTTTCAGAATATCAGATGCCGTGAGCTATGGTTCCAGACAGGACTAAAAGACAAAGCGAGATTCATTCCAATTCATTCATTACAATCCTCCCTTGGTCTTTTGCTCTCAAAAGCCTTGCCAGCATACCATGCATTGACAGGATGCGATACAACGAGTGCTTTTTCAGGTATTGGCAAGAAGAAGTCTTGGAAGGTATTGGTTAATGATTCCCAAGCACAACAGCAACTTGCCAGCCTAGGTGAAGAGCCCCTTACTCAAGAATCTCAACTCCAATCTTGTGAGGCATTTGTATGTTCTTTGTATACCACTGCCAAAAAATTGCTAAAACTGATGATGCACGGCATTTCCTTTTCTGTCGGAAGAACAAGACAAGCGACAATCTGCCTCCCACATCTGACAGTCTATCACATCACATTAAAAGAGCCAACTTCCAGACATATATCTGGAAGACAGCTCTTTGTCCAATGCAGAACCTTCCTTCACCGGACAGACTTGGGTGGAAATTGGAAGATGATGTACTATTGCCAGTCCTTATGACGAAAAATTCGGCACCAGAAAGAATTGCGGAATTAACAACCTGTGGCTGCGAGAAGTCGAAATGTTTACGCAATTGTTCATAGTAATAGTAATAGTTTATTAAAAAAACCCTTGCAGTAGAAACTGAATTACAGGTCATTACAAAAATCTTATTTACAAATATTATTTACAGCATATAAAACTTATACAAAATTATCTGAGAGGTGTACATAATTTATTATAGTTAAAAATGAATGTATAACTAGACATTAGAGTTATTAGGTTCAACGATCACAGTTCAGGTCGCATACTTAATGGTAACGAATTTCTGAAACCGGTCTGTTCGCATCCTGATATTCCTCGCAACATTGTCAGATCTAAGTTTATAACCATGGTTCACTGGTGCTGACCGGCTATGAACAATTGGATAGAGTGGGTTTCCAGGTAGGATTGTCTCCACAAATCTCTTACAGGCGGCATCCCTCCGTAAGACAAGCGGTTCGATACCAGCTAGTTTTAGGGCATCATCATAGGAACAGTTAGGGTATATTATGGCCAGTGCTCGTTTCTGGACCCTTTCAAGATCGTCGCTAAGATTTTGAGGAAGGTTGGCGAAAACGACAGAAGCATATTCCAATACTGATCTTATAATTGCACAATAAACACATAGGATGTCTGTTGGGGCTACCCCACTCCTCTTAAGCTTCCTCAATGCATATAAACGCCTATTGGATTTCTTAATAATGTATTCACAATGCACAGACCATGTTAAATCACTGGTAACATACATTCCGAGCAGTTTAAATGATGAAACAGATTCCACGCGTGTTGCACCAATGATGATAGGTTGCAAAACACTGGTATTGAAATGAAGAAAGTTAACAATCATATCTTTACACTTGGCAGGATTCAGCTTCATATTGTTCACTTCAGCAAACAAGTGAATATCTGCCATGGTATGATTCATCAAGAAAGGGGAATTTCTAGGTACAATTTCCAAAGCGGTAAGATCATCAACGAACTTAGCACGGGGGCCCCACGCAGATAAAAGTTCATTCACCATTACGGCAAAGAGGATCGGGCCAAGCTTAGTACCTTGTGGAATACCACCATTGATATATTGAAGTGTAGATGCATCCGACCCAATACGAACGAACTGAGACCTTTTATATAAAAAGGCAGCGATCCATCCTAACACAACGTTATGAGTGCCAAGTTTAGATAGTTTATCAAGTAGAAGCTTGTGGTCAATCAGATCGAATCCCTTGCGGAAATCAGCAAAGAAAAATCGGAGGGTGCAACCACCCTTATCAAGGGCCTTGAGGGCTAGATGGAGAATATATACTATAGCCTGTTGCGTAGATTTTCCAGCCATAGCAAATTGTTTGTTATCCAAGTGACTTATAATGGATGGCAGGATTCTCGCTAAGGTGAGACCTTCCATCACTTTAGCAATTTTGCAAGTGAGTGAGATGGGTCTGATACAATTTTCAATGGAGCCCGGTGGAGATTGTTTGGGAAGAGGTGTAACAGTTGCTCTCTTTAATAGAGGAGGCAAATAGGCATCACGTAAGGATGAGTTATAAATATCAGCGTTTACTGGCGCTAACTCAAAGGCAAACGTTTTTAGAATTACATTCAAGATTCCATCCGGTCCCGGGGCTTTCCCTGTCTTTAAAGAACAAAGAGATTTATAAACTTCGCCAGTTGAAGCCAAGAGATCATCCGCAATACCAGAATCACCAGCAGAATAGTTAGAAACATCGTCCTGTGAGAGGGGTGTAAAATCTTTTGTGAGATTTACAAAGAAATGATCGATTCTTTCGCATAACGTATTGACGGAATCTACAGTTTCACCGTCAATGAGGTGCTCAAACCATTGGTTATTTCTGTCAGCCATACCAGAAAGATTTTTAACCTCTCTCCACCATTTGCTTGCGTCTGTGACTTTTAGGTTTCTAACTTTAGACTTATAATACGATTCCTTACATTCTTTGATGGATTGAGCAACTTTATTTCTCCAAAATTTGAAGGAAGAGGACTCCTTCCCATATTTTGCCATACATGTTTGCCTTTTCCTAATCAATGATTTTATCTTGCTTGTCATCCAAGGCTTGTCGGAGCGGCATTTACGTACTGCCTTCATAGGTAAATATTTTTCAACAGCTCCTAAAAGAGTACAATGGAAACATTCAAATTTATCTTGACACGAACCTTTCGAGATCACCTCTTGCCATGAAAACGAGGTTATCCACTGGCCAAATTCTCGAATTCGACTATCACGGGTGTCTCGTCTAAAGATAGTCTCTTTGGGCGGTGGTTTTGCTCGAGGCAATTTCTGCCTGACAACAAAGCAGTAATGGTCGCTGGAGCCAATCTTGGGTAATTTCTCGGGTACAGACATAATTTTAGGTTTATTTGTTAAACACCAATCAAGGATGCCTGAATCTCTTGTGAAAACTTTTACAATCTGCGCCAGGCCGCATAACTGACGAAAGCGGCTGGAAGATATATTGGTTGAATTGGGATTAAAATCGCCCACGATGCAAATTAGACTGTCTGGATGACAAGCCAAATTTGAGTCAACAACACCTTGAATATGGTTATAACCTTGTAATTATCATCAGCCGACGCATGTGGTGGGTGGTAAACAACTGCAATCAGAATGGATGACACTGCCCTCGGAAGTCGACAGGGCCTCATTTGTAACCATAAAATTTCAGTCACGGACTCAGGAATTTCAGGAACTGATAGTCTTTTACATTGAATATTGGACTTAACAAATATTGCTACACCTCCGCCGCGTTTTTCACGATCTTTCCGGAACAAGGTAAAACCATGCATTGCAACTGCATTATCAGGTATCTCGTCAGATAACCACGTTTCTGTAATACATACTATGTCTGAATCATTCTGATTAACCACGCACTCTAGTTCGTCAATTTTTGGTGCAATAGATCAGATGTTACTAACGAAAATCGTAGGGAGCCTGGAATCAGGTTGACTAGGATTAAGGGCTATCTTTACTAAGTTATCTCCAGTAATATGAGAGGGTTGAGCTGACCACATACGCCGCGACTTTGGTTTATGGACTGGGAAATAGTTTGAAATAAATTGTTGTTGGTTGTTATATTGGGAACTAAATAGCTGAGAATTCATTGCATAGTAGTGATTTGGTGTACAATCTCTAGATATTTGGTCCAGTCCGACACCTTGTGTTGCATGGAGTAACGAAACCAAGGGATATTGGTGCCTTGGGAGCTGTCGATGTAATCTAGGGACTGGTTCCGCTGTCTTCGCTGGTTCAGCTGCTGGGCTAGTTCTTGGGGGGGGGGGGTCTGACACGAAAGCCCTTCCAAAAATAATTTTCGTGCTGTTGTGGGTTACGTAGATGCCATCGTAGTGGGCTAGGTTTGAAGATGGATCGTGATGGACCGTTTGAAGATGGATCGTCGCGGAATCAGGATCATTACTCTCCAATCTTTGGTCGGGGCCTATTGGCAAGGTAGATTTATTCTCGGAGAAAACTTTCGCCTCTAGTAATGCAAGACGTGACTTCAAATTCAAATTTTCTTTAGTTAATTTACATAAGTCCTGCTTACTTTTGTGAATAATTTCGATCTGTTCTGAAAATTTAGCTGTAATAGCTACAACCTTCGGTTCAATTTTTTCAATAAACAAAGTGAACTGTTCCTCTATAATAGCCGAGTTACTATCCACTTGTATACAACGTGGAGTGGAGCAATCATTAACTTGTGCAGAAGGCATACTGTTATTGTTCTGTGACATCACGTTTTGAAACGATTGCTCAATGAAATCTTGCAGCTCATCAAGTGTTGAGTAATCGCAGGATATTTGGGATATTGGGACACATTTTTAGTATTGACTTTACCATGGTCACTGGGTATTTTATGCTCATTTTGTCCATCATACAACGATTTGTTTTTATCTGACGTGTTCTCAGAGGCAGTATTTGAAGTGACTGACTCTGGGACCGTATAATACGCCGGCGGGCTTTCCTTATTCGTACAAATATTAATAAAAAGTTCATTTAAACAGTCACCTGTTTTCCCTTGGAATGATAGAAAACCTCTCTCGTAATTCCAGCTGAGGATCAAATCAGAATTAGAGCTTGTAAATCGCCTATATTTGCCTCCGGGTGATGACCATATGCCTGTCTGAGCAATGGCACATTTGGTGAATATTTTCAACATTTCAAGGCTGTCCGTCCATCTAATATGCTTTCTATCAAAGACGAAGCATTCATTGTCTTTATAGCGGAAAATTTCATCAAGATCCCATTCATTTAAGTTGTTTTTAAGGAAACCAACAGAGCTTGTTTGAACACAACCGGCTGCCATTTTGCAAGTCAAGTAACCTTCCTTGTACAGAAGCATGTGCATGCATGGCTGATCATGAAAGCTGTTCAAACCCCGTTAATGATGTTGTCGACTCCAGTGATCTAGAGAGTGAAAATGACGATCCTGACATTTAAAATTTTCTTGGCTATTTTGATGAAGATGGACTGAACTGCCTTTAAGCATATTTAAGTTTTCTGAACAATAACGTTGGTACGTTACTATTACCCTCCTTGTTATTCTGTTAGAGATTGCGATCTAACCGTTATATACTTCATATAGGGTGGCTGAACCTTTATATTAACAATATTTTATCATTTTATAATTTGAATTGCATTTTTATTCGTCTTAGCATGTTAAAATGGCTTGATAAATATATTTTGAGGGTTATTTTTTGTGAAAGGATGCGTTTTCAAGGGTTTTCCAGCAAATTCAGACCAAAAATCCGTATTTTTTAGATCATGTGATTTGTCACGTGACACAATGATTACTTGCTCACATTTGTTCGAAAGCCCCGTGAAAGCGCACTCATACGAGAGCTTTTTCGTGAGATTTGGTTAAAAGCCAACCAATCTATGGGCCTCGCGATACGTAGCCTCGCTCTGATGTTATTCCGCCATATTGGGGCTAAAAACCCCCGATATGTCGACACCTATACCACAAATTGATAGTACAAAGTATCTCATGTTAAAAAGCATATATTGTTCTATAAGAATCAAGTGTCAAACCTTTTCTGTAAGGTGGGTTGTGCAATGCATCATTTATTGGGATTGAGCTCTTAGACTAAATTGGGTCATGGACATACCATGAAGTCCCTGAACTAGTTGATGATTCATAGCAGACAGATCATGCATGTTAATGTTCAAGTCACCAAGCGCATAAAATTCTTTGCCCTCAAAGTAACCTTGAGATAGGTTATCTTCCAGCTTAGAATCAGTTGCCATATTGGTGTCAGGAGGGCGATATACTCCGGCCACAAGAATAGGTTTCATGTTAGAATGGTTGATTTCCAACCACACAATTTCAAGGTCATTACTTTCAAGATCAGTCCGCCGATGGAATGAGATCTCATGTCGAACATAGGCCACAATTCCTCCACCCCAATTACCACTCCTATCCTTTCTTAATAACAAATAACCAGGAACTTCTAATTCATTATCAGTGTAAGCATCATCCAACCATGTTTCAATAAGAAACAAAATGTCAGGGAGTCCATTCGTTTGTGTAAGTATAGTCCGGATGATTTCAACTTTATTTGTATAGTGTTGCACATTATATGCTGCGACCCGTAGACCTTTATCTTTAAGACCAAAACCAGTTAAAGGTGCATAATCTGAAGAAGTATTGAATAATGGTTCATCCTCGGTAGTAACAATAGCATTATCAGTTCTAATAGCATTAGGCATGAAATCCTCGAATAAACAGTCGTCAAAGTTAAACACAAATCCAATTGGTAATTGCAAATTATCGGTGCTAACAGACAAGTTCAAAGTATTTGCTGCTTGTAAACACATACCACACACAAAATCAGATTGCGAGAAGTATTCCATTGGATTTAGATTGACACCAAGGCAGCTAAGGTGGATCAAGGAAAAACAAGTTGAACACTGGATGGTTTTGTGAATCCTTTTAATTGCTGAATCACACACAGGACAATGCGATTTTAGGCTAGCTTCACCATTAGCATATTTCTGGACTCCTTCAAGCGATAAATTCGATTTTGAACTAGATTTCCTCAACAGAGAAGTAGAAGTTACAGGTCCAGGATTAGGATGAACATTCCCAATAAGTAGAAGTCTTTCTAGCTGAAAGGAGGCATTATGGTTCTTAACATAAAGAATACGTGAGTGGCAAAATGTTCGCCTCGAGGTAGAATGTTTAAAGGTAATCAATTTCGACAGTTTGTATGCTGGATTGTAAACAAAACCATTTTCAACACTATTAACTTGATCTTGATCAGTAGAAAATGTCCCGAACCATAACAAGGGCATAAGCATCAAGAATGACCAAGTTTTGGATTTTGAAACTCTTCGAAAATCATATAAAAGGATCCAAACTGGGAGAAGCAATTTGTATACACCAGTCGCCATATATAACGCACCTGAGTACCGTTTTCTTGCTCTCTTCCAGCTTCCTCGCACTTGCTGTTGTCGCATCTCCTTCGGTTATCACTGAAGCAGCTGAGTCGTTACATTTTTCTGACCACTGTTGTTCTTGAGAAAACCATGAACCCAAATCGCTACTGGCTAATACTTGTTTCTCGTCTGCATCAAACTCCTTTTGATCTGGGAATTTTCTTCTTTTTCTTTTCGAGTAAAACGGACTGGTATTTTTTCTCTGGCCCTTTGATTTTCAGGCATAATGCTCACGCGTATACGTTTGGCCTGAAGATTGATCACTTTTTAAACCGGCGTTTCACTTAGAAAGCAAATTTCACTGTGTTGTGTAGGTGTACCAACAATAATAGCGTAAATTATGACCATCCTGTTATTACAATGATATCATACAGCTACTCTAAAACAAACAAACCGTTGGATGTTGAATACCACCAGAGGTGTGTATTAACATGCACCCTGTGGTCACACTTATCAACAACCTGTCAATCACAACTAAAACTTTCCCGGCAAAAAAATTAGACTATATAACATATTCGGTTATATCTCGGTTGCATTTTAATATTTTCAAAAAATATTTGCGGAAATGGAAAGATCACTAGCCCCTCGATATAAATCGATAAAAATGTAAAAATGGACAAAATCAATGTTTTCATCATATGGAGTAACCTTAACAGAAGAACTTAAATATTGTAGAGAAGATCTAAATACTTGTAGTTCAAGAAGATTATTATTGCTGCTTGAACAACTTTTCGTTTACAGTTAACTATATAAATCCCGGCATATTTAATCGATAATCGATGAGTATCGATATCAATCAATACCAATCGATATTTATCAATCGATTGATATTGGAAATCGATGGCTTCTTCTTCATCGATTGATCATCGATTTATTATTAATTTTCATTGATGAAAAAATCCTCCGTTAATATGCATGCAATCAAACAGGTAACGCCGTAATTTAATTACATAAATACGTACTTTATTGTCGTAACAAACTCAAATGTGAACGGAATTCAGTAATAATGGATTAAATTAAGTTTTCATGTAGCTATAATGCATACCAAATACATGTGTACATTCGAAAAATGAGAACAGATTTATTTATTTAGCTCAAACACGCCGACACGCGGCGATTATTTAGGATATAAATCAATAAAAATCAAAAGCATTTTGTCGATAAATATCGATGAAAATCAATGAATATCGATAATAATCGATAAAATTGGCTATAATTTTTTGTGACTATCGATTGGTCATGGATTGATCAATGTCAATTGACATCAATTAAGTAATTAACATCGATTACCATCGATTGAATTTCTGATGATCGGTTTTTATCAATTAAGTACGCCGGGTATAAATCTATCTCTAGAAAATAATGAAGTTTTTTGCTGAATTGTGCACCGTTTGTTGGCTTATTTCAATACATCGAAATCATCGCGCCTTTCCCGCCTCATATCTTGTCCTGACAAAGCGGGATCATAAAAACAGCCCCTTATTCAGCAAATTGCGCACGCTGCCTTTGATCCCTTGGGGCCAAGGCAGCACTTTCCTTCCGATAGTAACTTCCAGTAATTTATATTGTATGTTATATATGTTAAGCAAAACATATCACCAAGATCTTTTTTCCCAGTCTTGTTCATTCATTCAAGTGCAACATTCAAGCGAAATTTTGAATGTCGAAAGAAATGCAGGGGGAGGAAAAAATACGCAATGATATTCGTTTTATGCCTTTCTTAAAATCACGACAAACTGACCCTCAGAAAATAGCTTTGATCTCCTAAGTCCAGCACTGAAAACCCAAAGCTTCTATACCAATCTATACTAATCTAAGGATGTATAAAAATTATTGATAAAAACATTTTGCCCTTTTTATTTAAATTCTGCACAAAAACCTCGGACTTTCTGTGTTTTTGATGCAAAATTACATTTATTTATTTAATTAGGCGGTAAATATAAACTGTAATGAAAGACTGTTTATATTTGCTTCAATTTTATTGCATTCGGATTTAAAGCATTAAATATTTTCTTATTTTCAAATTTAAAGTTCATGAAATTTATTACTAAATGGTGCCGGACGGCTTTGCTAGCTTAAGTGTTTTATTGCTCGTGCAAAATACTTGACTGTTTATTATGCAAGCTTAATATTTTACCAAAATAGAATTTCAAAACAGCAATTCCATTTTTTTACTCATGAAGTTCTAGTTCGGATAAAAACTTGTTAGAAGTATATGTAAGTTGCAGTGTGCGATTCTTTTGGACGTCAGCGAAACGCACATAACCAAGAAACCGAACAATCCAAATCGGTATATATTTAACATGTATTAAACGTGGTTTCTAAACAATAATTTACAAACAGATATTTACCTACACAAATACGATTACAAACAATGAAACAACACAAGACAAATACCTGACTGTTAGTCCTTCCGGCTACCACACTACAACGTAAATTAACTTTAAAAAACAAACTCTCGTTCCCAGATTCCACCACTATGACTGGCCAAAGGCGGGTTGAAGTGCCACGCTACTTCTTTCGCTCGTAAACTATGCTGAATCTTTAACTGTGCTTCGTCTGTGAAACGGCTGAAGGCGCAGAGAAAGGATTCGGCGTCGAGTGTTTGAGCAACTTCGATATGGATGGCTCGCATCGCTAAGCAGGTGAAGACACAACCGTATCTTTTAACTTGGCATCTTCCTCTTTTTACCAGGAACGGACCGAAGTAATCGACGCCTGTTGAAGCAAACAGGCGTTCAAACGCTGTAACACGAGGCACTGGAAGCGAAGCCAAAACTTGCTTGCAAGGTGGCGCATACTTCTTACAACAAATTTTGCATTGGCCGATTATGTAACGGATTCAGGAGCGTCCTTGAAGAATCCACAGGTCTTGTTGAATAGCAGCGAGAACGGCTCGGGTTCCAGCATGTCCTTCTCGTTCGTGGTAATGTAGAATCAAAGGACCAATGATGTGGTGTTTACTTGGGATTACTGTTGGATGTTTGGCATCAAAGGATATTTCAGCTCTTTCCAATCTACCGCCAACTCTCAGTAAACCGTCGTCTCCCATGAAAGGTGATAAGGCAGCTAACTTGCTCGATTTTTTCACAATAGCCTTGGAGGGAAGATCATTGCTCAATCTACGTTTGAGACATGCTACTTCTTCGGGAAAGGATTCACGTTGCACATAATGAATAATGACCGTCTTCACATTTCGCAGCTCTACGACTGATAAAGAGTTCGCTCCGGCCCCTGTAGACTCGTCAGGACTGGACGTTCTTGGGTTTCGGACCTCGAGACTGTCGTGATTTTGTGCTTGATGAACAGTTTTAGATAGCGAATGAATCGAATGAGCCATGCGACTCCCTTCTGGAGACGATACCACGATGAATAATGCTGTATGAAAACATCGAACGGTTTAACTTGCTGTGCTTGTATCTCGTAAACTTTGACGTCCTTCTTCCATTCGAGAGCTTCATCAGGAAGTGTGCTTATTTCTGTTGGACGGGTTGGCCACGCTTCTGCTTTACCTCGAAGAAAATCCGGTCCATTTATCCATTGGTTAATTTCATGTGCATCGGTAGGTCGTAGGCCTCGGGAAGCATAATCAGCTGGGTTAGCTTTGGAGTCGACGTATCTCCAACTTGTTGAGGTGTTGTAAAACGCACGTAGAATCCGTCCAGAACGTGACGGAGTCGACGTCTAGATCCAACTCCTGGTTGATTTGGTGGTGTTGTTTAACTGCTACCGTCACCGCAGTGAGTTCCAACCTTAGAATGGTAGTTGGCTTTATCGGCGATACTCGCAATTTGGCCGTCACCAAAGCACAATGAACTTCGCCGTCCACGTCTTCGAAACGCAAGTATGATACGACGCCGTAACCATCGACAGATGCATCGGAAAAATGAGTAGCTGAACACTCGTCAACTGTCCCAATTTCCAGGACTTGAAATACCTAGGAACACTAATATTCCGTAAGCTGGGTACGTCATTCAACCATCTTTCCCACGCCTGCAACATACTCGGCGAAATGTCCTCGTCCCATCCAATCTTGTCTTTACACAACTGTTGTAGTATATGCTTAGCCGGCAGGATGAAGAGTGCCGCGAACCCTAAAGGATCGTACATGGAGCTCACATCCGATAAAATACCTCGACGTGTTGGTGCTTTCTTTCTCTCGGCCGTTCGGAAATTGAAGGCATCTTTCACATTCCATTCTACCCGAGGGCTCTTTCAACTGGTAATTCATCAAAGTCTAGGCTGACAATGGATTTCGCACGTTCACTTTCAGGAATCGAAGACAAGACTTCTGCATCATTGCATACAAACTTTGTTAATCGGAACGATCGCTTTGCTAAAAGCCGACGAAGTTCTTCGATCAGTTGGATAGCGTTCTCCGTTTTCTGCACAGATTTAAGACAATCGTCTACATAAAAGTTTTTGCGGATAGTCTTGATCGTTTCCTCGTCGAACTCGTCTTCGAATTCGTCAGCAACCTTGCGTAGACAGAATCCCGCGCAACTCGGGGAGGAAGTGGCTCCAAAGAGATGAACTAACATTTTGTATTCTTCCGGTAATTGTTCGTAATCGCCGTCACACCACCAAAGAAACCTGAGGAAGTCGCGATGCTCTAAAGAAACTCGAACTTGGCAAAACATTGCCTCAATATCGGCTAGAAATGCAATCGGGCCTTGGCGAAACCTGGTTAAGACTCCTACGAGTGTATTCGTCATATCCGGTCCTTGGAGCAGTTGGTTGTTCAAGGAGATCTTGTCATACTTGGCGGCGCAGTCGAACACAATTCTTGGCTTCGTTGGCTTCCGAGGATGCAAAACTGGATGGTGGGGTAGATACCATACGCCTCTCTTGTTGGTCTCAGCATCATGCAATTGGCTTGGGTCGATCTTAACAGCATACCCTTTGTCAACGTATTCGTCAATACCAATCTTGTACTTGGCATGGAGATCTGGATCTTTCTTCAGTTGCAGTTTCAGAGAATGTAGTCGCCTTTCAGCAAGGCTTCTATTGTTGGGAAGATCTGGTTTCGTGCGAAATGGAAGATCCAGCTAGTAGCGACCGTCAACAATCTTCAAGGAATTCTCCATCATGGTTAGTGCTTTCTGATCTTCTAGTGACATGCTTAAATCTGGGGAATATGTAGACTCACTGAAATCCATTTGAAACATCTTTTCCACAGTCTCGTTGAGGAACTCATCTTCCTGGCGGATGAAGAAAGAACTAACATTGTTGTCAGAGTCAGTTCCTAAAGGACCTGCTACAGACCATCCCAAAGGGGTTCGAACCGCGTATGGCTCTTTCTTTCGACCAAGTCTTTCTTCTAGTTTCCAGTGTGCTTCAGGGATGTCAGCACCAATTAGAATTGTGACCTCCGAACTTTCCAGTTCTGGCACAGAGATTCCATCAAAATGTTTCCACTGGCTATATCTTGTTCGTTCGGGATACAGCTTGCAGCGACCGACAAATCTTTGACTGAAAGTGCATTTGGAATTTCTAAACAATCTTTCTGTCCCATGCCTTGCACATAGAAGAAATGAGATCTGCCAGATTCTTGGGAGACTCCATTCATAGTAGTCAACTGAAAATCTATCGGCTGCCCCTTCAATTTTAACTTGTTAGCTAGGCTCTCCTTTACTAGCGTTGTATTCGATCCTTCATCTCTTATTGCATATGTGACCTTTTCGATACCATTGTCTCTTCCAAACACTTTAACAGGAACGATTCTCAAGCAAACTTGTTTCTTTATAGTTCCGGTTGCTCCACAGTGTCCTGTCTGAGCATTCTGGAATTGGACGGGCAAAGAACTGGTTGTCTGTCCTTGGATTTCCTCGTTATCTGTCTTGACCGGAGCTTGGACGTTGTTGTCTCGATTAAGTTCAACAGGATGAAGCATAGGATGGTGTTGTTTTCCACATCCAGGAATAAGCATCCATGGTTTTTCTTACATCTCTTGGCGAGATGTCCTTTAGAAAGGCAAAGATTACACAGTCCTTGCTTGGAAACAAAGGCTTTCCGTTCGTCATATGATTTCCCTTGGAACTTGAAACATCTTTCGACAGTGTGGCCTTCCTTATCACAAAAGTAGCATTTCAGTTTTGCAGACGATCTCACTCCGGGTGAATACCTGGTATGCGCAGAATCTTGTTCTTTAATGGATCCGGTCGATGCAAACAATGACACTCTGCGAGACTTCCACCAAACCGAGGGTTCTTGTTTCTTTCACGTTCGATTTCGGGTTTCGTGTTAATTAAGCGGCCATATTCCGTATTCTCCAATTTTGCTCTCTTCGCGACAAACTTGGTCAACTGCGAGAAATCTGGCTCCTTACCTTGGTCTCGTGAATTTTGTGCTTCTTTCGCCCATTCAGAGCGAAGGTGATGCCTAATATAGATCAGTCTCGAATATCCACAAATAGAGATCAGCGTCAAATGTATCCACAAATATCAGATCAGTATCAAATATATCCACAAATAGAGATCAGTGCCAAATATATCCACCAATAGAGATCAGTGCCAAATATATCTTTATCGACTTTATATTTTTTAAATATTTCAACTATTTCGCATCCAAATATAACCACCAGGTAGTCAGAAACTGTAAGTTGCAGTCTGCGGTTCTTTTGGACGTCAGCGAAACGCACATAACCAAGAAACCGAACAATCCAAATCGGTATATATTTAACGTGTATTAAACGTGGTTTCTAAACAATAATTTACAAACATAGATATTTACCTACACAAATACGATTACAAACAATGAAACAACACAAGACAAATACCTGACTGTTAGTCCTTCCGGCTACCACACACTACAACGTAAATTAACTTTAAAAAACAAACATGATCTTGTATCGAACAAATCCCAAACAAAACATGTGTTCACATTATCCCAATCGCGGGTTTTGTCCAGCCCTAAAGGCGGGTCTAGATCCTACAGTATATATACAAACCAGACACAGTACTAAAATGCGGTGCCCGCCTACAAATAAAACTTCCGACGTTTTCGCCTACAAGTAAAGTTATATTTTTCAATGTGATTAGAAGCGAACTTTCTCTAAGCCTCATTTAAATGTAATAATTTTCTTTTTAGTAACGGCCAGAAGGCTCAGAAGAAGGATCAGCGCACAAAGAAGAACCTTTGACGTAGTTGCCAAGCAACTACGTCAAAAACCAACTTGAAAACCAATGACACTTGCCAGCGCTCGCCGGAAGTGAGAATTCCATGTGACACAAAACAATCAGCAATTTGACGTGAGATTCATATCTGTACTTACCTCATCTGTGGTCATTTACGCATGTGCGCTGATCAGTGGCGCTGATCCTTCTATGGTTCTTTAGTTCTCCTTCTCCTTCTATGGTTCTTTAGTTCTCCTTCTCCTTCTATGGTTTTTTAGTGCGTATAAATGTAACCTGATGATGGAGTAAACTCCGAAACGTTGTTACAATTTACTAAATTTGTTATAAAAAAAGCCTTCTGGTCGTTACTAAAAAGAAAATTATTAAAGTTATATTTAGTATGCTACATTTTCCTGCCGGCCGCCAGTTGGTCCATACACATTAGGATCAAAACTGTGCTTTAAAACCTTCAAAATAGAATTTTTTGGGCTCAAAATACTATCAAAATGAAGAGAAAAGTGAGATGAATATACTGGTATATGGCCGAAAAGAGAAAACCAACGATACCAAAGTTATCAACTATCAAGGGTCAAACGTACTGCATTTTTAGTTAGTTTAATAATTTTGAGCGATTTGTCAACAATACTATTTCGCTTATTAAAACTGCACTTTAAAACCTTCAAAATAAAATAATTTGGGCTCAAAATACTATCAAAATGAAGGGAAAAATGAGATGAATCCACTGGTATACGGGCCGAAAATGAGAAAACCAACGATACGAAAGTTATCAAGAATCAAACGTACTGCATTTTTAATTAGTTTAGTAATTTTGAGCAATTTGTCGACATGCAATGCAATCTCGCTTGACTTTCAAAGGCCATAAATCGCTAGAATTCTGTTGTTTAGTAACACATTTGACATCCATAAGTACAATTTCTTATGCTGAATCGAACGGTGGATTTTTGTCCTTATTTGGCACATAAAACCAGAGATAAGGCACAGCAAAAAGTCTATCGTGAGAATCGGAGATTAAAAATAGAAAAGAAAACGTTCCTCGAAAAAAGGAATTCGGAAAACGTGAAGGATTATTTTGAGTGGCTTGGCTTGTCTTTAAAAGGCCATAAATTGCTAGAATAGAAATCAGTTTTGAAATCAATTTTCCATCCATAAATACAACTTTTCATGCTGATTCGAACAGTGGTATTGTTGTCCTTGTTTGGCCCATAAAACTAGAGATAAAGCCAAGCAAACAGTCGATCCTGAGAGTACAAGATAAATATAATTAATTTTCCTGCAAAAATGAATAAATTTCAAGCACATGCAAGGAATTTTTACTAGGCGATTAAGGAAACGTATTGATGCTAACAAACAGACAAACAAACGGACAAACAAACGGACAAACTCACAGGCAGAATATAATGCGGTGCCCAAAGTTTGGGCACCGCAATATATCCGATATTCTTATATCACTTAATTGACTGCAATATATCCGATATTCTTATATCATTAAATCTGGTTTACATTGGTGAGACTGGTCGAAATCTCTCAGTACGTCTTAAGGAACACAAAACGAATTGCGAGAAAGCCGAGCAAGATAAATCTGCTGTGGCCAAACATACTGTACTTGGACTTACGCGACCATCGTATAAAATGGGACGAAGCAACCATTTTGGCGATTGATAGTCATAAGTTCTCTCGCAAAATGAGAGAGTCAATTGAAATCGAGAAGCACAATAATATAGATCAGGAGGGAAAGCCACTAGATAGTACGTGACGTGCTCTCTTTAATGTGCAAAATTAATTTCTCTTGTCTTGGATGCGCACGCGTTAATTGGAATCACTTCACTATGTTTGAAATAACGTGGTTGATGTGCCATTTAATTAAAATGACGTTGTATATAAAAAGAGCATGTGAATCCACCTTTCTGACACTCAACAACACGTGACACTGCAAGTGTTAAAAATAACAGCGACTCGGACAAACATTGCGAACAAATTGTAGATATAGTATCACAACGTGCGTTTAAGTGGTGAACAAAATCTGATTTTTTTTCGCGTTTTTACCGAGAATATTAAAGAAATTCGACGAAATAATTGAGAAATATGTCCTCTGAAGAATCACGATCGAAATCTATTAACAAGATGAGCGTTATTGAGCTCAAGGAATATCTTGCAAATCGTGGTGTAAGTGTGAGTGGATACTTAAAACCTGCATTAGTAGAGATAGCAACTGCTGTAAATAAAATGATGCTTCCTCTAAATCCAAATTTTGAAGAAAAGAATAGTTTGGAGAATGAAAAGTTTTATATTGATGATATGGAGATTAGAAATCCGTTTACTTCGCAACACAAGCTTGTAAATAACTTCTCTGATTCTCCGCCATTTGGGTTGTATGATATCTTTAATTACCTTATTCACCATTCAACCGAATACGATAAACAATGTTTGGCAGCATACAAGTCATTAATTAGATGAATATCGCCTTTTCCAGGACGGATATGTTGAATCTCTGCTAACTGAGACTTTGTCAAACGAAAGACTTCATCTGTATATGGGTAAAGTTAAGCCAGCTATGAAAGACAAGACGGACAAAGGGAAATCGTACTACGACTGCTCGTTTATACTTGAAGGTAAAGGGGCCAACTGAGGGAGTGTTGTCAAAGCTAGATGTCATTGTAAAGGGGGTCGCGATGGTGGTTGCAAGCATATTGCTGCAGCCATGTATTCCCTAGAGGATTTACTGAATACCCATGGCGAGGACAGCCCAACTAATATGCCATGTATATGGACCAAGAAACCAACCGTTGACAGCAGACCTTGTGATGTGAAAGATCTACTAATTGCCCATTGTGATTTACCTTAAAAAAAAAACACCAAGAGCGAACATGTTTATAATGAACACATAGTCATGGATTTAAGGCATAAAGATGACCAGGTTCCCCCGACAAATGAATCTTTAAGGCAGTTCACACATTCTTTGGAAAAAAGTGGTTGCAACCCAGCAATTTTGCCATTACTGGCCAAGTTATATGGTAGTGGTAAGCCTAATTGCCTTATTATTAAAAATGATATTGAAAATGATGATGTAATAAATTTGAATGAAAGTGGAAATAAATTAACTTCAGCAAATGGAATCCTGAAGGAAAAGGTCAATACGCTCTGTGAACAATTGGGTCCTGAATGTCATGTTGAAGCTGCAATCAACAATGTTCTTACTAATTTGTCTCATAGCCAGGAAGAAGTTGACCATGTAAATGAATTGACCATTGAGCAATGGAAGTGTGATGAATGGTACAAGCACAAAGAAGGTTTCATAACTGGCTCAATCGCATACAGTTTTGAGTATGCAGAACAGCCTGGATAAAGGCAAGCAGAGAAACGTTACCTCATTAGTGAAAACAATCACCTGTCAAAAACCCATAGTTAAAAAAACTGTTTCAGAAACTGCAACAAATCCCAGAGATTGGGGTTTGAAACATAAAAATAGTGCACGCCAGAGCTACTGCAAGGTGGAATGCAAAAAACATTCCAAGTTATCCCTTGTATCCAAAGGATTGTTAATTTCTAAGAAAAAACCTTATGTAGCTGCCAGTACAGACAATATTCTCTCCTGTAGTTGTGCAGAAAACTGTCCAGATGTTGTTGTGGAGTACAAGTGTAATTGGAAGCATCGAACAATTCCAGTGAAAGAAGCATTTCTAACACCTGAAATAGGTGGGGAACAAGTTGGAGATAAGTTGTATCTGAAGACATCTAGCTGCTATTATTTGCAAATTCAATTGCAAATGTCTTCAAAAGCTTGAACAGTTTTGGATGAAGCATGTCTTACCATTTATGGTTCAAACAATGCAAACAGATCACCCAAAAGCAGGTAAATTTTACATTTTATTTTCATTTTGTCTACATAATCAGGGTCTGGAATTTGTAGTATCCCAAATATCAGAAATTTAGTTTACACTATATAACCAAACTGTTGAAAACTTGTTCCTTGTTAATCACCTGTGATCAGTCAAATGCAGTGCACCCCTAAAATTTATATTAAATATTTCATTTTAAGAATCTATGGATGTTGATATATGCAATTATGAATATACCCTTCAACATAATGACAATGATTCCCCTCAACCTAATGAAAGTGATTCCCCTCTACTTAATCGCAGTGATCCCCTTCTATGCAATGACAATTATTCTCCTCAGCCCAAGGATAATGTTGCTCCTCAGCCGAATGACACCCCTCAACAAAATAGGGCCATTTATACGGGACAAAATAAGTCGCGACTTACATAAGATGCGTCTTATATAAGCGTAGTTATCGCATAAATGGTTCTCTACGGCTTTATTCTTCTTTACTCGCTATAGCTGTAATGTTGTTTTGGTTGTTTTTGTTTTAATATGCAAGGCTAATAATTTTACGTTGTTTCAAGTTTCGGGCATGTGTAGTTAAGACGAGACTTAAATAAGAACAGCTAAAAGTCGTCTTACATAACAATTTCGTGCCGTTTATACAACAAACTCGCATCTTATTTAAGTCGTGTCTTATGTAAGTCACGTCTTATTTTGTCCCGTATAAATGGCCCTATTATTGATGGCATGACCCCTCAACCTAATATTATTGATGTCAGTGAAGATGCATACAGAAACACTTCCAAGTCCACTGCCAGACAGCAATTGTCAATTAAATACAATGGTGTTGATATTTACCAATCTTGCATTGACACACTTAGACCTCAAGGACTCTGGAATGACAACATTGTATCAGCTTTGATGGAGTAAGTAACACATAATAATTATGTATTCATGACTGACAGAACAACATTTAGAGGGGGCTAACAAATGTGTAATTAACTCGATCCATTAACTCTCTCCTTGACGAGTAAAATCATCTGGAGTTAGAGAGTAAACAATAGAGTAGGGTGCATCAAGGTTCATTGCCACTTAAAGGGTTAAGTCACTTATAAATGACTGTTAATTTCTCATTTTATTTTTACCCATTTTTTTTTACCAACTGGGGGACTGCAGCTTCCATTAGGCCCCCATACTCAGCCTGAAAAGAACAAAATTTAACTGAATAAACGTTGAATTAACCCGTTAATTAAGTGGCAATGCACCCTACTTTATTATTTTACTCTGTCTAATGCCAGATGATTTTACTTGTCAGGGGGAGGGGAAGGGGTGCTGCCACTCAATGGGCTAAGCTAGCAATTTCTTTTTTTTCAGGGATTTAAATTGCCATTTTACAATTGTGAGCACATTTTTCTATACTGTGCTTTGTGGTGAACAAGAAGGACGGAAGCAATTGTCACAGTTAGTAAATTTTTATCAAATGATACAATACTAATGTAAAATATGTATTGGTAACTTAGTGGAGAATCAGGGTTAAGTACCTGGGACAGAAATTTGTTTTTGATTTCCTAGAACTGAAAGAAATGGAAAAGCAGAGATCACGTTTGTTCCACCAACACTCATGGATGATGATTACATATTTATTCCCATTAACAGAAGGTATATAATCAGTGATGTAGTCAGAATTTCTGGTCAAAGGGGGGGGGGGGGAATCCCAGGAGGGGCCTATGGCTCAAATGTATCTATTTAAATTTTTATAGCAAACATTGGTTATTAGCAGTGATCACGCCATGGCATATTATTATCATGGATTCCTTAACATGGGACGTTAATTTAAGAAAGCATGAAACTAGTTACATCTTAAGGTTTGTGCTTTAATTAAGCTAAATTGATGTAACTTTACTATTGTCATGTGTCAAGCTTTCTCAATGCATTGTATTCTTTCTCAATGCATTGCATTTGTAATATAGTTAATATATTCGTATTATTTAGTTAATATATTCATACGCCCAGTTTGACATTTGAGATGATTAATGACTCTGGAGCAGACAAATATATATCAAGTAGCAGTCGAACACGAACTGAGATTACCTTATATTTAATACTTAGAAACTAGTTAATAAAATACAAGATAAACTACATGGTGGCAGCGGTGGGATGAATATGAACGCCGACCAGTTTACAAAACCGGCAAAGCTCGAATTCGAAGGCAACGTCGCCGAGAACTACAGATGATTTCGCCAACAGTTTGAAATATACATGTCTGCTACAGGATTCGACGCGACAAACGTCCCGAAAAAGAAACAAGCCGCAATCCTGTTGAACATAGCTGGCGAAGAAGCTATAGAAGTATTCAATACATTTACATTCGCAGAAGATGAAGATAAAGACGACCCTGAAGATATACTGGCGAAATTTCAGAATTACTGTGAGCCAAAGAAGAACATTACTTATGAAAGACATATATTCAATACGCGAGTGCAACAACAAACTCAATCGTTCGATGCGTATTTAACAGAGCTACGTGTCCAAGCTAAGAAATGTACTTATGGTACGCTTCAAGACGAACTAATTCGCGACAGATTAGTTGTAGGAATACGAGACGACAAAGTACGAAGTAGGCTACTTCGAGAGCCAGAATTGACTCTACAAAAATGCATTGACATTGCACACGCCGCGGAAATCTCACAGAAACAAATGCAAGAAATCAAAGATGAAACGAACACAGTTCATGATGTAAGACCAACATATAGAACACTTACCGACAAAGATCGCCCGAGATATGAGTCGCGGGGAAAGTCGCAAGAACGAAGAAAATCAAAGTCAACTCGAATGCCCGATTGCAAATACTGTGGTACACAACATGCTTTCCGCAAAGAAGTATGCCCAGCGTACGGAAAAATATGTTCATCTTGTGGCAAGGGCAATCATTTTGCAAGAGTTTGCCAATCATCTAGAAGAGTTCATGCAGCTAATATTGCCAGTAATCCTGACTCAAGCGACGACGATTTTTTTATAGGAACAATTAAAACGCAACAACAAACATAAATTGTACACGCCGTGGGCGTTGATGAATGGATTTCAGAACTGGAAATCAATGGGCAAGCAGTCAAAGTCAAATTAGACACAGGAGCAAAATGCAACGTAATACCAAAATCGATATTCAATCAGATACGATCCAACGACACATTGCAGAAATCAAACACAAAAATAGTATCATATGGAGGGCACAAGATGGATGTATGTGGTCACACAACACTCTTGTGTGAATACAAAGAAAAGATGTACGTTTTGCGATTTTATGTCATTGATAGTGATGAATGCCCCATACTTGGATTGAAAGCTTGTCAAGAATTGAATCTCATCCAACGAGTGAATGAAATGAAACTAACCACAACTGAATCCATAATGCAAGAGTATGCAGATGTGTTTGATAATAAGACACTTGGATGCCTGCCAGTACAGCATACAATCAACCTTAAAGAGGACGCTAAACCAGTAATCCATGCACCGAGGAAAATTCCTGTCGCTATACGCAGTATAGATGTCGCTATATGCAACATCTAGGAGTTATTGAACCTGTCGAAGAGCCAACAGATTGGGTGTCGTCTATGGTTACGATCACAGAGCCAAACAAGACACGAATTTGTTTAGACCCAAGAGATTTGAACAATACAATCAAGCGAGAGCACTATCCGATGCCCACGATAGAAGAGATTGTATCAAGATTACCACAAGCAACTGTTTTTTCCCCACTTGATGCAACCTGTGGCTACTGGCAAATACCTGTCGATGAGAAATCGTCTAAGTTACTTACATTTAACACTCCATACGGCCGTTTTCGTTTTCGTCGTTTACCCTTTGGAATATCATCAGCATCTGAAGTCTTTCAAAGGACGATGAATCAACCGTTTGGAGACATAAAGGGATGCGAGATCATTGTGGATGATATCCTGATCTGGGGTAGAGATGAAGTTGAACATGACGATCGCGAATGCCTACTAAAAGTGCTAGAAAGAGCAAGAAAGAACTTCGTCGGTTCCTCGGAATGGTTAACTATTTGGCTAAATTTATTCCTGACCTAGCGCAGAATACAAGCGTCATAAGAGATCTAATTAAAGAGAGAAACGAATGGACATGGCAACCTGAACACCAGAAATGTTTCGATGACCTGAAGACAGCATGTTCAAGTCAACCAACACTAGTCTACTATGACGTCAACAAACCCGTAAAGATATCATGCGATAGCAGCCAATATGGACTTGGTGCCGTGTGTTTGCAAGATGAAAAGCCAGTGGCGTACCCCTCACGCACTCTCAACGACACCGAAAAACGATATGCACAAATAGAAAAAGATTTGTTGGAAATAGTGTACGCCTGTGAGCGTTTTCACCAATACGTTTACGGACGAACAGTACAGAAGATGAAAAGCCAGTGGCGTACGCCTCACGCACTCTCAACGACACAGAAAAACGATATGCACAAATAGAAAAAGAGTTGTTGGCAATAGTGTACACCTGTGAGCGTTTTCACCAATACGTTTACGGACGAACAGTACAGATCGAAAGTGACCACAAACCACTGGAGTCAATATTCCAGAAACCGCTTTATCAAAGCCCACTTCGGTTACAGCGCATGCTTCTTAAGCTCCAAAGATACGACCTGAAAGTGACTTACAAGAAAGGAACTCAGCTCCACATCGAGCAAAGAAAATTCTCAGCACAGCAAAGAAAAACAATGAAGATCCTTACCTTGCATTGCTTGGTCATCGCAATACACCACGTGATAACATTTTAGGCAGTCCCGCCCAACGACTGATGGCCAGACGAACGAAAACGTTACTCCCAATAAGTGATACATTGCTCAAACCATCTGTCATCGAGCCCAGTGAAGTTACGAAACGCTTATCACATTATCGACAGCAAAGCAAAAAGTACTATGACCGCACAGCTAAACCTCTTCCAAATCTGCAAAAGGGAGATGTGGTGCGGGTCACAGACATCAAAGGGAAATACATGAAAAAAGGAACTGTAATAAACGAGACAAGTTATCCAAGGTCCTACATGGTAAATATAAATGGACGAAACTATCGAAGAAATCGTCGCCATCTTCTGAAAGTGAAAGAAGAACCAGATAGTGAGCATGAATACGACACAATCGAAGAACCGATCAATCAGCAAGAAACCATCGTAGAACAAACCAATTGGCAAGAAACAATCGTGAAACCAAGTCAAGTTACAGATCACCAAGATGACCACGAGAGACAACATGGTTTACCAAGATCTCGTTTTGGAAGAGTTATCAAACCACCTGATCGCTTGAACCTTTGAATCGAACTGAAACTTCATAACTCATAGTGATATATACCTCATGATCGAAACAAAAAAAGATGTAATATAGTTAATATATTCGTATTATTTAGTTAATATATTCCTACGCCCAGTTTGACATTTGAGATGATTAATGACTCTGGAGCAGACAAATATATATCAAGTAGCAGTCGAACACGAACTGAGATTACCTTATATTTAATACTTAGAAACTAGTTAATAAAATACAAGATAAACTACAGACTCGGCGAAAAAAAAGTAACTTTGCCTGGAGAAGGCAATGCAAATGATGTAAGTGTTGGCTTGAAAGAAACATTCCCCAAGTTGAGTGATAGTGGGGGTTACGAATTCATGCATGCAAAACCAGGTTCACAGGAACTGAGCGTGATTCACGAAGGGCAGAATGGTCACACGGTCGATTTCCTTAAAAGGTTCGTGGGACAGGGGGCATGTGTATGTTCGTCCGATTCAACGCGATTTAGACTTAAATCCGGAAACAGCAAAAAATGAACATGGTGAAGTTGTGGAAGAAATTTGCAATTATTGTTTCAATATTTTTCCAATGAATCAACTCAGAGAGCACATATATGTGTGCCCTGCCAAAAGAAAAGAGGATACTGGCACAAGAAAAGAGGATACCACAGTAACTTTTGCAAGGTACAAAGATAGTTTTAAGGGACTGGTCATTAATTACAGGGGGGGGGGTTGGTAGAAATGAAAAATTAAATTTTAATGAAATAAAAAGTTTTGTTGGCCCTTCCTTGAGGATAACACAATTGTACCTAACCCCCCTCCCCCCTCCCCACATGTAATAATAAAAGGCACATGTAAATGTATTAGGACATCCGAAGAGGGTAGGGGGTTAACTTCCTATTTCCTCCATGGGGGAGGTATAGATGTTTTCTGGAATGACCCAATTTATTATTCTTTACCATTTTATTGAGTCAACAACTTTTCCAATTTAACATGTTTATGTTGAAATCATTTTCATAAATGCTGTTGTGTTGGAGTCAGTGGCGCCGTGGGACCCATGTTTTTTGGAGGGGGCAAGGGCAGTACTTTTCTGACAAACTGAAAAATTTTTCAAACAAACCAAAAAAATTTCCGGACAACAACATTTTAAATCTTCACCCCTCCCAACAATTTTGAAAATTTCCGACAACATTGGCAATTTTCCGGCGGGTCTCAACAATAGGGCGGCATGGCCCCCCTGCCCCCCCCCTGGCCACAGCGCCACTGGTTGGAGTGTAGTCTACCTCTCTATTTTTTATCTGTTCAATGGTATGACGGGGTAACACAGGGCAGGTATTTATATTGCAGTAAAAGTTTTGGCTTCCCTTTTTCATGCACAAAAATATCTGCCCCTCCCCCCTTTTTCCACCATAATGCACTATTGTCAGACCTACCAACCTGAACAACTGATATATAGGGAGAAAACCCATCAAAGCCCTTTTCATTGGAGCAATCAGATTGAGATTAGTGTTCAAACTCCTAGCTACACTTGCAGCCAGAGACGGATTTTCATTCAAGGGGGGAAAAATATCTGGGGGGGGTGCTGCTGCTTGCTTTGGCCGGGGCGTGGTGGCAACGCCCGGAAAGGCCAAAGAAAAAGTTTAACAAAATTTGTTTTCTAGGCCTGCATGGCGAGATCTGAGACCATAATATTATTTGGTAATATTTTACAAATTTAGTAGTAAGAATAATCAAATATAAAACTATCAAATCAAAAGATATATAATTTTCGGGGGTGCCAAATGACTTTGGGGGAGGTGCAAATCATTTCTGGGGGGTGCGCACCCTTCCCCCCCCCCAGAAAATCCTGCCTGCTTGCAGCACAAGAAGCCCCTTGACTAATGTTAAATTCTGCACTATCTTGGACTGAAAATACAACATGAAGACGTGTTTTAGAATCTAAAATGAAGTCATTACAATAAATGAAACGAAACGCAGTTGTCCATAGATATTTCTCAATAAAATTCAATAAGATCAACAAGAAATCGGGATAATTGCCAGTTACCAATATCAGGTCACACAATACCGGAGATCACAGGTCTATACCGGGAGACTCCTGGCTATGTCGGGAGAGTTGGCAGGTCTGCTATCATTGTCATTGGTACAACCTACGGCTACACCTCCCCACCCAGGCTTAAACAAAATAGTATAATTCTTCACCCCGGGGGGTCATTTCCCCTTTTTATCCCCACTATCAAAAACAAAATATACTTGATTACAATAAACCATTACAGAAATTTTAATGGGCCTCTGATTTCCTATCTAACCCCATTGGGCACTGAATCCACAAGAGCCTGTTTCATCCAAGAGGAATCATCATGTGGATGAAACAGGCTGTTTTGACAACCTTTTGAGGCAGGAAACTACCTGCTCTATCTATATGACATCGAGGACTTGTACTGTATCACTGGTATAAAAGCACAATCATGTATTTTTCCCAGGCTACCTTTCCCAACATGGGCCTTCACTTGAAGCTTCAAAACAATGTATGAAAACACTTGTGCTTCGCGCTCGTGTTTTCATACATTGTTTTCTCGTGTTTGGATATCCCGGTGAAACACTCGCTCTTGTTGTTCATAATAGTACATATTAAATTGCTATGTTTAATCCATTACTTTAATATCCAAGACTTTTTCTTTGAGGTTTAATAATAGTCTGATGTTAGACTAAAAATGATAAATTATTTATGTAATAAAATTACAGTGAGGAAAGCAATCAACATGAGGTTATTAATGTGGAAGAAGATGAAATCCCAGATACAAAGCCACAGTGTTCAGAGGAGATACCACAGTCTGATGCGGTCAGCAGAGAAAATACTGACTTTGATATGATGTATGCCTCTCTTATCTTCGAAGACATAAATGCTGATCAATTCTCGGATGAACAAGTTGACGAAGATGAAGAAAAACCACCAGCAGTGGTTACTAGCACAGGCGTTCTGGATATCAAAGATATTTTAGAAGAACTTGCTACTGTAAATATTGACAATCAACATATTTCAAAATTTAATATATGTCGTAGTAACATTTGGGATGGTGTATTGCGAGGTATGGAAAGGAAATCATTTTCTCCCAACAAGAAAGTATCTGTAAAATTCACAGACGATGTAGGTCTTTCAGAGGGTGCTGCAGATTTGGGAGGTCCAATGAGAGAGTTTTTTACCTTAGCCCTTGAGAAAGTATTGTCTGGTAAACTTTTCTGTGGTCAAGAGCATCAGAAATTTTTGTCATATGATGCCAAGGCTCTAAAACAAGGTGAGTATTTCAAGGCTGGGCAATTATTTTCCATGGCTTTAGTTCATTGTGGAATAGGTCCTCGTTGTTTAAGTCCAATCTTGTTTGATTCCATGGTCAAAGGTCCAGGTGAAATTCTTGTTCCTATTGATTCTGTTTATGATCCCGAATTACAGTTAGGTCTTCAAAGGTTGATGTCTGTCCAGTCGGTAGTTGATGCAAATAAAGTGATTGTTGATGAGAAATTACAGGGAATTCTAGAACTGTCTGGAACGTTGAGGGTCATGAAAAGTGTATGTGATGTTAAGGAAGTTTCTAGTGAGACGGCCCATTGGTATGTTCTCGGCAGAACAAGGGCATCATTTGAAAGTTTTAAAAACGGTCTGAATTGCTTGGGTTTGCTTGATGCTCTCCTTCATAACCCTGATTCGTTTCGCCAAACTATGTGTTTCCATTCACAAGTTCTTTCTTCAGACATCTTTGAGGAACTTTTCACAGTTTATAGAAGTGAAGAATTGTCTAATAGATGGGAATTAGAAAATAAAATTCTTGCTTTTTGGAGAGATCTGTTGTTGGATATCGAGGAAAAAGAGTCTGAAATTACTTTTTCTGATATTCTCTTCTTTGCTTCAGGTTTAAAAGTTGTTCCTTCTCGTGGGATATCTTTAGAGCTTGAATTCTTACATGATCCTGAAAAAAATGGTCAGCTGTCTAACTTTCCCAAGTCAAACACTTGCTCATGTGTTCTTTACTTGCCTGTCACTCATTCTATATATGTTGAGTTTAAAGGAGCTTTCACATTTGCAATTCGAAATGCAAAGGGTTTTGGTAATCCTTAAAGTATTTAACCAACGTTAGTGCATAAAACAACTTTTGCTATAGAAGCATGGAAAATAACTACTTGTGTAAACGGGGCACACAGAAATGTACATTGAGGAACTTTTTGGAACAATTAGACTGTGAAAGTTGTGTCATAAAGATTTGTCATAAAGTTTAACAATCTTACCAAAATTAATTGTTCAGACAATTTATCATTGACTATTAACATTCAGGGATTAATTCAAGCATTTTAGTCTACTACCTTGTTTAGTCTACTACGTACCCCCATACTTCTACCAATAGCCTCTAGCCCCTAAGAATTCTTGATTTTGTCTCTGTGAAATGGCATTTCCTGCATTCAGACCATATTTCTGACAGAGCAAAAATATAACCATTTTAATTAAAACAGTTTTATAATGGCATACAAAATACACAATGCCCAAGTAATATCTTCCTTTTACTGTTAATTATTCACATTTGCCACAATTTGTCAGAGCATATTGTGAAAATTTCATGCTGTTTGAGTTTAAAAGTTCAATTAAAGACTGAGCTTTTACTACCGTAAAACAGTATAGTAGAAATGCGCTTTTGTCAATCCCTGTCATTACTAACCTAATATGCAAACTAGGTTAGTAATTTTATTTTACTGTCATGTTCACTGTGTGCCTCCTTTGTGATTGTTTATGTATATTATAGTTACTTTGTTTTGTTTTGTTAATAATAAGTTTTGTTCTAAGAATGTAGACGATAGCAGCCATGCTATATGCTATATATATATATCTCTTAAGGGGCTGTTTAGATGAGCCAGACTGGCCCTTTTGTGGAAAAAATTCAGTTTACATGTGCACAAAAGCCTGTCTAAGTCACTCTAGCCAAGATTGGCTCAATTATTTAGTTAGCAAAATACCTTATTACAATCGAAAATGTTCATTTAAATTACTGTTTCGATTAAAGGTATTGTTGATTAAGTAACGGAAAAACCTGTAGTTGTACACAAAGTCTGCCATACATAAAAACTGGGCCAGCATGGCTTATGTAAACAGCATCTTAGTGTAGTTGGATAGATTGCATTGTTAAATAATTTACATTTATTGCAACATTAATTGTGCTTATAGTTATACTGTACAAAGTAGTAGAAAAGTTGCCGTGATATTTGGAAACTGTTCACTAAAAAAATATGTTTTGAGCAAGTTGATCGTTTATTGCTAAAATTTAAATTTGATAAGTTAGCTAGTATGTAGCCATTTGTCTAACACAATCTCTCACTACGTAGTATTGCTCAACAAAATCATTGCCATTGTTTATTTCAGTCAACCTTTCATTCAGTTCATTTCTTAATTCCTCAGTAACAGGCAAATTTGTGTCTGGCACGTCAACTGTGGTTGCCGTTATTTCATTCTCTGTAGGTACAGGACCAGTCCAGTCAATGCCATAAAGATCCCAGTTGGTGTCCTCTGGTTGAGGGACTGCAATGTGATCCCAACGCATACCTCTGATATAAAGCTGTAAAGGACTACAGTTGCGCTCAGTTCGTAACGGATGCCTAATCCATCCTTCAACCCATCGAGATAAGGAATAATTGATTTCTTTCGTGAAGACAAAGTGAAGACACCATAGGTCAACTTCATCTCCAGGATCAAGGATCCCATGATCTTCCAATGAATAGAAAAGGATGTAAAAAGACTTTAATACACCTTGGTACACGTCGCGCCACAGGCGTTCTATTCTTTGATTGTGAACGCTTCTTCTGGTTATAGCTGAACCTCATCCTGGCCCACACATTGGGTGATTAAGCATGTAGCGGACAACGTCCACATTTTCCCCACCCTTATCACATCTTAGTCGCGATGGGAGACCCCAATCATCGACAGCCTGTGTAAATAGGTTAAGAACAGTGACTGCTTTGTTGTTGTTACTGCATTTCAGAAACACGGGTATACGAGTATATCCATCGACACACCCATGCACCACAAAGCGCATGCGGATAAGCTTGTGGTTTCCATCTACGTGCTACAGAGCAAGAGGACGGGAAACATTGTACACTCTACGATGGACTGTCCTGCACCGTCTAGCAACTATTCCCAAAGCATCGACGCGAGTAAGTGACTCCCTAATGCGGCTTCTTTGAACATTTATATGCATTGCCCGCAGATATCCAGCAAGAAGTTTTGAACCACAATCAGGTGAGGTACTTTTGACGTCTCTCACAGCGTTGTCCAACTGTTCATCAGCTATTGCTGTAAATCTATTCATTCCTGTAAGATTGTTCGCACTCATGCGTCGTTCTACAGTTCGTTTTGATACGTTCAGGATATCGCTCATATCTGCCACTGAAAAGTTGCAATCCATTAGATATTCAATCTGCTCTTTTGAAATATTAAACGAAGGTCGGCCTACCGAGCCAACATTATTCAATCTGCTTTCATTTATGCCTCTGTGAATGTTAATGTTCCTAGACAACACATCATGAGCTTGCATTAAAAAGTTAAAAACCTGTTCAGAAACCCTATCAAACGAATCCAATGAGACAACACATTCCATTAGAACCTCAAGAATCTCCAATACGCCATTCATATCCAGATCGGCATGAGCTTGCATTAAACGGTCCCGAACTGATAGTAGTTTATCATATATGATTTCCTTCAAACTTTCGGTTTCCGCCGCCATTTTGAACAAGTGCTACCGTGTAGTGCCCAAACCTCTGAATAATGAAAAATAAGCTGAATAATAAAAAATAAGCTGAATAATGAAAAATAAGCTGAATAATAACACAAAATAAGCTGAATAATAATAAACGTTATCTGAATAATTGAAAATAACCTGAATAATAATACAAAATAAGCTGAATAATACTAAAAATTAGCTGAATAATACTAAAAATCAGCTGAACAATAAAAAATAAGCTGAACAATAATAAAAGTTATCTGAATAATTGAAAATAACCTGAATAATACAAAATAACCTGAATAATAATAAAAATTAGGTGAATAATAATAAAAATTAGCTGAATAATTGAAAATAAGCTGAATAATAATACAAAAAAGCTGAATAATAACAAAAAATAGCTGAATAATAAAAAATAAGCTGAATAATAATACAAAATAAGCTGAATAATACTAAACAATGAAGTCAAAATATCGAAATAATGCGAAAAATAACGAATAATATCGTGTTTATATAATTTTGGCGGATATGGCACCCCATAGACATCCTTCCAAAAATGTAAATCATCTCAGACATAATGGTATCAAGAACATTTTAAACAAGTTTCAACTTGGTTTCAAGTAGATCATAGCTGTTTAACCATCGACAAGGTAAATCCACAACTTTGTCCAAATTTGGCGCCATTTTATGATCCCATGTCGGTTGTCAACAATTCAGCCTTGTTACTCTTCCATCCAAGCCATTTCCATTCCACTAATAACAAATTTAACCCTTTATAGCGGTAGGAAACTAAAAAATCTAAACAAAATATAAGAAATGCGCCATTTTATCACCCTGTAAAATGTTGCTCTGAAGTCTTTCAAAACATTTCGTACAAATATTGTGTGGTTTAGCAACAGGGACGTGACAGGGGGGGGGGGGGTAGAGACCTGAAAAATGAAAGCAAAGCCCACACAATATGGTAAAACCAACAATCAACATTTAATTTGTATGACTTGTTCATATTAATAAGTAATAATATGTATATATTTGTCGCTACAAGAAATAAATCAATCAATATTTATTAACCATATTCAAATATTTACAAGCAGGTAGAATTATTTAAACAGACAGATACATATTATAATGAAAAAGCTATAAATTTAATTATAAAATAGAAGGAAAGAGTAAAATGTAATATGGATGGAGATTGGCAGAAGAAAACTCCAGGGAGTTTGTAGAGAATGTCAATCACCAATTTTAACAAGGTCGAGTACAAACTGAGTAGGGTTTCTTATCCAAAATAAACTAATTCAGCTTTTCATCATTTCATCAAACAAAAACAAACGTTTGTATGATTGTATTTAGCCTTTAGTATATTTCACACAGCCTTCTATTTTCGTGAAATAATTTACCCCCACTGTCACATCCCTGTTACTTTGCCATGCAAGATTTGTACAAAATGTTTTGAAAGACTCGTCGGCACATTTTACAGGGTGATAAAATGGTGCATTTCTTATATTTTGTTTAGACTCTTTTATAATAAAGCAAAATCCAACCCTACAGGGTGTAATCGTTAATTTAACCCTTACAGATCACTTATTACAAAACATCCCTATCCCTGTCATTTAAGCTCTCCCTTCACCATTTAGGATGCAATCAGCTGCAGTCACATGATCACACTATGATAGATCCAACTCCACCCTTACCACCACAATCATTTAAACTCACTGTACTACTGAGTAAGCTAGCTATAAAAGGACCTGTCATTTGCTGCTCTACTTAATTCATCATTAAGTCTGTTTTCTTTGACGTACCAAGGTGATTATTTTTAATAATCACCTTCAATATTAATTAGCTGAAAAGATGGAAGAAAACTCAGAAAATGGTCGTTCAAAGCAGACAAAACTTTGTTCGAAAACCTCCTTAATTAACAGTGTAATTTGAAACATATTCACACATGACCCACCCCTAATGTAGTGCACAATTTTCTCTGGCCCACCCTTTTTTGGAAGCATGAAAATGGTGGCCCACCCACCCTTTTTCTACAGCCCATCCACCCTATACTTTATGACTGGTCCTTTTAGTTGGACCCCCTGTGCTACAGGGAGTATTAAAAAATGTACTCCCTTTCAAATTAGCCATAAACTTTTAAATATTCGTTACTCTGCAGTAAGCTGGCCCATTTTATATCTTAAGCCTGCCACACATGAGAGCAACATGCTGAGCTAACTGCCTCGAGTGGCAGCTAGCTCAGCTATGTATTTTCACCGCACACGTTGGGAAAACTACTCAACAACAATATAATTAACAAAATTATTTGCATTTTCCTCCATTTTGTTCTATGTCACATGAAGAAACTATGGTTTGTCATTGG